GCCACCACAGATTGGATATAAATGGGTGACGATCTCTCTCAAAAAAGGACACAAAAAAATTAGGCGCACATGGAGCCTGATATCTGATCAATGATGTGCCTCTTTTTGAGGCGCAATCCCTGATATAACGGGAAGCAGATGATGATCTCTTTTTCTTGTGATATCGGACTACCTATTGTAGCTCAGTTTTTGTAACTTGATATTTAAAATATAATTTTAGGATTGGGTTCCCTTTTTTTAATGATCCGCCGGTGTGAAGGCAATCACCTTCGATCCGGCCATCGCCGGCTGGCCTCGTTTTCATCTCCGGTTTCACAGTGGAGCCCAAAGTCACATTACCCTTACGTCGTTTCTTATTTGGCCTGGGCCAAATCCTTACGGAATGTCGTCCAGTATCTAGGTGATATCCCACGTGATGTTCGGGTGAGGTTGATCAACATACTTATGCTCCTCTTTGAGCATCACTGGCATGCCGGACCCACTGAAGCAGCAGCATCGCACACGTAACGTGTTCACGGCAGCAGAAGATGAACACTTCATTGTGTTTCTTGCGTCAGTGCCAATCGGTCAGCGAGCATCGCTGAGCGTACATAAACGGGTATCAGAGGTGCTACGTGTGCTGTCCCCAAAGCAGCTCGGAATTCTGACCAGACTGATAGGCTCCGTGGGGCACGCGACACGGCCAGAAATCTTGGCAGCAGCGCTATCTGAGGAACCGGGCTGCTTACAACGCTAAATGTGATCTCATTTCTGTCCGGCGTGCTGAGAAAGGTAGGGTGGCTGATGGCGGGATACAAAAGTGAGCAGTTTCCGCTTCATTTCAGTGTCCGTGCTCATATACATTCAATGGCAGCGACCGAGACAACCACACGAGCGATTTGGATACAGAGGATAATAACACGGGTGCACAGTTTGTCACATTTTGCTTCAACTTACTTGTTCTTGAGGCAAGTGCTGCAGAGAAAAGACTTGGGAGACCTTGGATCAGTATCTCAGCTGGCCGTTCTCGAACATCATCAAGCACCCCGTTTCGCCGGAAGACGTGCAGATATGTATTCAATTCACGGTTCAGTTTCTTGCCCAGCAGTTCTCGGTGACGCCTGCGGCCGTAGCTGCTGTCTGGGCGCAGGAGAACTGCATTCTGAAAACCGGCCGGATTCTCGATGCTATCAAAGGCGCGCGATACGAGGCACACGGCAAAGATTTGGGCCGTCCCGAGGTCGATGAGCATGGAAGTGACCGGGAGATGGAAGTTATATCCACTGATCTTAATGACAATGACGACGACTCGAACTCGACCTTGGGCTCTGCTTCGTCCGCCCATACCCCAGACACTGTTCTCGTTTTGGACGACTCGCCTCCACAACCTGTGCAGCAAAGCACGCCTGTCCTCTACGTTTCTGATTCGGACAATGACGAAGAAGATATCGTTCTTCTCGAATCCCCACCCCCTGCGTTTGCTGCCTCGTTTCAAAGTACCCAGAAACTCCCGGGGATCGAATCGCTTCACGAATTATCGGATTCGGAACCAGACGACTTCTCGTTTGCTTATCCCCTTCATCTTCCCTCCACTCCTCAAAGCTCGTCGCCAACACCTCATCGTGAAGTGGCAGAACACGAGCTCGGCCCATTCAACCGTTGGTTTGATCTCGGGGGCAAGAACAGGTGTCTCAGTGAGATCGACGAGACGGACGAACTTGCTGATGACGAAGCGGACGACGGGTCGGATTGTCGCATTATTCCGACGCAGAAATCGCTATTTGGTTCTCAACCAGCTTGCCGAACGCAGGGTTTCGGTCATTCCTGGACCCAGAATTCACTCTTTGACGATGCATCCGAGCCTCAATCACTGACTCAGGCGTATCGCAACTACTTGTTCGCTGATGGCTCCCAGTCGAGGCTCATGCGCGGTCAGTGAGCATCTGCTCTGTTAGGACCTTTGTATCTTGGGCTTTTAGTCGCTTTCTTGGTTGACAGTCCACGGACAATTGACGACTTATCTCGGATCTGAGTCTTTTTACATTCTTTCTGATACATCTAGATCTACAACCGAGTCATGCGAATTTGCATCGGCACTCTCTACAGTTGTATAAGATACCCTTGGTTTCACAGCGCACAATATTACTTTGGTTGAATTTTGATCGAGTATCCCGAGTGATGAATCCAAGAGCCTACATCGAAGCCAAAGGTCCTGCGGACGCCGAACCAGATGCAAACGAAATGACAATTCGATTGGACTGAGCGGACACATAGAATGTACAATAGCAAGCGGATAGTCGTATGTGAACTGAACTACCAGTGCAGGCGATGGGTAGGACACTGATAGCCCATTGGATTCTTGAAGAGATACAACTGGTGGTATGCTTCGGCATCCCACCAGGGACCCGCAGGGATGATCTCTGTAACGATCTTGGATCCCTGGAGTAACGATGAGGAGCTGTATCATAGAGTGACGAGACCCCATGGGCGCACCTTCGGGGTAAAATGTTTCGCTTGCACTTCATCCGTCACTCGCTTCGCGATTTCAACCTGCTCTGGCGTAACGGTGAATATGGCGCTGCGATATTCTGTGAATCCAATGAGCCGGGTCAGCGGGAAGACAACCATTGCACAACTCACGCGTGCCTACATCCCCGCCCTGCCTGTTCACAGTTGTTGGATCATGCGTTCGGTAGAAGAACTCCACCAGCTCGTCGTAGCTGACCAGCTTCGGGTCGAACTCTATCCGCACACTCTCCGCGTGCTCCGTGCTCCCGGAGCAGACCGTCTTGTAGTCGGGGTTTGTCGCAGACTCGAGGCCACCGGTATACCCCACGGTCGTCTTGAGGATGCCTTTGGCTGGCGGGAAGTGTTTGACGAAGATGTGCTCGGTGCCCCAGAAGCAGCCCGAAGCGAAGATAGCGACTTGAGTGGTGTCTATGCAAAGGTAAGCACAGAACACGCAATAGCCTGCAGGGAGCTCCGATGTATTCACCGGACATGACTGGAAGGATGGTTGATGGGGTTGTCGAAGGTCTGAGGGGATTAGGGGCGGGATTAATGAAGCGATTGTCCCAGAGGGCAACGAGCAAGCCGCAGCAAACGCTTACTACGCCGACGAGGATGGTGGCAGTAAGAAGGCGCGATCGAAGAGATGAGTAAGGCATCATCGAGCACGTGAAATGACCAATAACCGCGACTTCACATGTCACATGTTCCATTAAGATCAGACCCTCGCCCTTACACTCGAGTGCTGTCGCTCGCTGATATCAGGCTGAAAAGGCCAATACACTGACAATATGAAATTCCGGGCTGAGATCGCGGCGTCGTTCGCTCGATTCACTACTGCAGGTGCGCTTGTTTGAGAGTAGAATGATTGTGACCATTCTTCATCCATACGGAAAGATTGTCAGGTGTACCTCTTGCATCCTGAGTAAGAATTCGAATCTGTTCAATTGTCAAGACTGTCCCTTGTCCGCGCCCGGAGAGCGGTGATTTTTTGAGCCGTGTACCGTGCTGGCCGGGCAGGCTTCTTGGGCAATTGTTTCCTGCCAGCGCAGTGAGGATATGGCGTCAAGAGAGCACGTAGACTTCAACTCACCTTTATTTGACAATGAATTTGTGCGCATGTGCGGACAATCTACAGCCACTCGGCGCCCATTTTCATCCCTGGTTCTGCGACTCAGTCCTCAGTATAGAGCGGAAAATGGGACGCGAGCTTGCAAGCAGCGTGCGCCTTACAACGCGTCCTCGATGTGAAGGTATTGGCCGGCGGAGGTACCAGTGCCATCCGGGGCACATGTGTGACTAAGCTCAACTTCAGTTTGGTCGCACAGGAGATAGCAACGAGCTGACCTTGGTATAAAAACGATGATTGTATTCCAAGATTCGCTCGCGGAGACGAGCAAGCCCGGGACACTGCCAGTGCATTCACTGTCCCAGCTCGAGAATACGATATCTTCCGTACCCTTCCCCTCCATCCTATCGCGTCAGCCGAGAGATTGTGGTTTCCAGAAGCGTGCTGCAGTGCCAAACGATTGCGACCGCTGACTCGAATGAATTGGGTCTGACGTGTCGATCAGCAGATTCCACGATTAGAAGCTGAGCAGGACGCACCATCATCGAGCGCTGGATCCGCGGCAAAAGTGCATGGGTGGGCAAAACGTTCGTTCTGCGGACCTAAGGCAGTGACGCCGTGAAGCCTGTGATTACAGTCAGTCGCGAGCTCTTGCTGTAGCTGTGTTCATATCATACCACTTAGCATCGGTGCATCATCCTAAACAGATCTAGAGTCCCAGAAGCCTTGGGATATGGCGCTGAGCGGACGGGGACGCTGGTGTGATCCGAGTCCTGGACACCTCGTCGAGAAGTCGAAGGGACCGATTGCATACCTTGTTCAAAGATGAGCCTGGACCATAACCGTAACGGTTCGGAAGGCCAAGCCACTCATCAAGATAGTACGCAATCGTGAAAATTTGGACGTCTTCGTCCCTCCAGAATGTTGGGTACAGAGGTCCTACAAGGCAGGAGGATATCCAGGCGGACGCTCGTCACATAGACGCGGAAGGCCATGGACACGTATCGCGCCCCTCGAAAGAAGCACGAGAAAAGGACTGAGTCCGCTCTGAGGAATATTATCCCATTGACGTGATAACGGAGGATCTACCTCGCTGGGGATAAGAAAAAAACTGGGGGGGCGCCGTGTCGTAGATTGAAGCGCGATACGACGGCTGCCACTAATTTGCTCCGACAGGTGCGTGAGGGTACTTGATGCTCCGTTTTCACGATGGTGGATTGAGTAATGAGTCCATGAGGCGTGGTTTCCTATCTATTGGGAGAGCAGGTCGAGTGACATGTGCAAGCAGACCGGAGCTATTTAGTCACTGCCACCATCACTGACCGCCTTGCTCAACAACTTTCACGACTCGAATGGCTGCCCCACTTAACCAACGAGTCCAGCTACACCCCGTTTACTTGTCGAACGCAATATTCACGCTTCGGCTCAGAGCTCTCTTGCATTGGGTGTATTATCCTGCAGATCCGCATCCTGCTGTACTCTTGCACTGAGACTCACACGGACTTCAGTCAGAACTCGCATATTCTATAGACCAACACATTGCGACCTTGACAGGTGCTGCAGGCTGCCGCTTGTGTCGCTCACGCTGCGTAACTGATCCGAAAATGGTCCAACCGAGCGTGCTGCGTGATAGTGGCTGTCTGCATGATATCTTTTTGCGCGCAAGGACTCACGGCTGGCTCTCGGGAGTCTGATCTTGCTACGGACTGCCTTGCCTTCCAAACACTGCTCGCGATCATCGCACATGTGTCAGCATGTTTGACGTCGAGGCGGGGCAGCTAGACTTCGGCTCTCAGCCGTGCCTAGGCTAGCCCCAAGAACAAATACTCGCGTATGGACAATCTGTGATGTATGAGCTCACTAAGCACTGGATCATCCGGTGCGCATTATCTAAAAATCTAGTACTAAAAGCCGTGCGGCGCGCAACTTAATGCTTGTCGGCATGATGGTGAGCACACCCGGGCACGTCTGGGGTGCTTACACGCTGCTCATGAATGCCAACCCTCGCTTAACGCGATTGAGTAGGTCCATTACATCGCCGTTCATCCTGTGACTGACACATCAAGCATGAATCACACCGACGAAAGGGCATATAAGGGCATGGCACAATCTCCCTGTACATGCCTTCCTTCACTCTTCCCAGCGGAATCGTCTTCAGCTACACCGACAGCGGGATTCCCACATCGAACAAGACAAACTATGTCACGCTGGTGCTCATTCATGGGATCATGTTCAACAACGGTGCGTGTTCTTCTAGCAGTCTGGACTGGACCTCGAGTATGAACTGCGGCGTCCAGGGACCTTCCAGTCCTTAGCTGCCCTCGGGCCCTCGAACGGCGTCCGTGTCATCGCTCCGAATCGCCGAGAATACGACGGGTCCACTCCGCATCCGGACGAGCTCGATTTGCTCATGAACGGGAGCGAAGTGGAGAAGGAGGCATTCATTGAGGAGATGGGTCGAGACTTGGCGCTGCTGATCGCGGGGCTTGTCGAATCGCTTTCTCTTCCGGGTGGCGTAGCTGTCGCTGGGTGGTCGCTAGGATCTCTAGCCATCATGGCTATCGTGGCGTCGATGGAAAGCTTACCTGAAGATGCGCGCAGGACACTCAGCAGTTCCGTACGAAGCGTTATCCTCTACCGTGAGTTTCACTTCCCCCGTTCCGACAAAGCTGATAGTCTGCAGAACCACCCACCGTCGTCTTTGGTATTCCAAACCCGGAAGGGATGCACGTGCCCCAGACCGATCCCGAAGTCCCTCGAGCCGAGATGGGACCGTTCTTTGCCCGTTGGGCGACGAGCTTCTTCTTGCACGGCGACCTCTCGACCCGCGACCTACGAAATCTGTCGTACTCCCGCACTGACCCGAATCGGCCGCCGACCATCGAAACTATCCCAATGGACGGCATCATAGACTTGACGGCGGGCGCCAAGGCCGACGCGATGCTCGTTTCTCCGAGTTTCGCCGCTGCCACTGCAAAACTGGCTGACAAAGCGCTGTTTGATACGCACGTGCGCGGCCAGCTGTGGAAAGACAGCAAGTTCTATCTTGTGACCGGTTCGACTGATGGTTGGAACTCAATCTACGCCGGGTGGAAGATCGAAGAGCGGATGCTGGCGGAAGCGAAGCCCGAGTGCGAGATCACCTTTGAGTTGGTGGACGGCGCCAATCACTTCGTACGTTTCAGTTCCGTTCGAGATGGCGCTTCAGGTTAATCGATCGTGCTCGCAGTTCGTCATGGAGGAGCCGCAGAGGGCACTTGATTGTTTCAAGCAATGGTTTGGCCATTAGCTTGCCTTCACTCTATAAGATCGTAGAGAGAACGCCCTCTCCCGAGCTCCATTAATGAGAGCGATGCTGCCTTTCTCTGATGCCATTACTTTACTACATCGTTCTTGAATTGTTAATTATAGAACTATAACATTGGTTTGGAGAGTTTGGTCGGGTCAGCTCATGTTTCTTTCGATATTGTGCCTTCTTTATCACATTTTGACTGTACACCAATGCACTATTGAGTTGACCGCCCACCTGAAAACAATCTCGCCGCAGGTCATTGACTACGACTACTTCCACATTACGTGCCGCCGGACGATCCGGATCAACGAAAGCCGGGGTCTTCCTTGACAGCGCTTCCTTTCTCTCAAGTGACTGACTACATTGACTGCGACGACGCCGACTGCGGTCGAGCGACCATACACCGGCTCGAAGACGGGTGGTGATGGATCCGGAGGTAGGCCAGCGCGGGGCGGACACGGACGCGGGCGAGTTCGGGAGCGACGACGGCGAGTCGGTCCTGTTGTCGGACGCAGTGGTGCAGGCGCTTGAGAGCGCAGAGCGGGATGCATTTGGGCGTGAGAGCCCCGTCAGGTGCGTGAATCCACCTGCGTGGACACGTGTGGGGAGCTGATATCCAAGGACCCAGCGCCGCCTCCGACGCGTACGACGAGATGTTCACGGACAGCTTTTCAGACGAGTGGATGCACGCGTGGGCGCGCCTTGAAGCGCCATGCGAAACACCCACATGTACCCCCACCTTGGATTCGGAGCCACCATCTTCTCTTCCGCCCAGCAGTAGCATTGCACCTTCCTGCGAGTCTCAGCCGCCTCTTCCATCGTGCGATTCCGGCCCCACGGAGTTCGACGACATGTTTTTGGATGATTATACGGACCAGTGGCTGCGTGCCTGCTCCGTCCTTGAAGCACTGGGTGCCGCCAAAGGATCGTCCGTGGTTAGTCGTCAGGGTTCCGGAATTGAGAGGTATGTGCCACCGTCAGCTGCAAGAGGTGCTCAATGGAATGCGCAGTCAAGAAGATGTCCTATCAGAAGGACATCCTGAGATCTCCACCACATTGCCCTTGCAGTTAGAGACAGCAGACCACTGCAGCAGGCTGGACGATCATAGGTAAGTTTCTCACCAGTCGTTGCCCTTGGACGTTTCCCTGAAAGTCTCTCCGACCAACAAGCTCGAATCCACTTCCGTCGTCGCCAGCACAAGCTCCTGAGGACCAAAAAACGACTGCTGACGGGTATTTTCTATGTGTCTGTCTTGTACTTTCCTACAGCTTGTGCCAGTTCACCCCCTGCAATGCCTCTCGCCCGGGACTTGGCCGAGTACGACACGGTACACGCGAACCGTCAAACTCCGATCGATATACCCAAGGTTCCCATAGACATGGACGATGTTGAACGGTGCGTCGGTGTCCATGTAAATTGTGCGACGTACCAGGATTTGAATTCCAGTACCGGGAAACAGCGTTGAGCTGAGATTGGCGGGATGCGAGTCATGTCCCCCAGATAGGTGAGCGCTCTTTCGACAAGGAGAAGCTCTTCTACATAGCCAAACACAGTGTTGGCTCGACCGGCGGCCAAGTCGATCCAGCCCTGTACGTTTTTTTAAACTTGTTTACTTTGTGCTAACCCAACCTATCGAACAGCTCGGGGCAAGAGATTTCTGAAAATCAACTGCCCGACAACCTTACTTCTCTAGCGAAGTACGATTTGAATCTTCTCGCGGTCGAAACGTAGGCGCGGTCTGAACTTCTGCACAGCTTTCCTCAATCCGAGAATATCTCCAGTGAAATCGTAGCAGCCCCTGAGCCGGTGTTTTCAATCGATTGGATGCAAGACATTCCCAGACCGCACAGCCCTGATTCGCCGTACTTGATACACAGACGCTATCGGAATTATCGCAGCTACATCCGGGATCGTCAGAAAACGTCAGTACCAGCCCAGACGACTCAAACGACACCATCCGTCCCGGCTCCAAAAATCCCCCCTCACGACATCGAGATCTGCGCGTTTTTCGGAATGTTTCCGAAGTGCAGGTTCATACCTGGGAAGCCGTACACGCAGATGGTCGAGGAGCTTATCTTGGCATATCGCATGAACGCGCAGGACGCGCGACATGCCCGGGAGCAGCTGCAGGGCATTCTGAACCGGCGATCCATGGCACTCACGAGCGCGCGCAATGTTCATAGTAGACGCTCGAGCAGCAGGTGCGAGAGCCGAAGGGTCATTTTGAGCTGAACGCTGACGTAATTGGAAACAGTGATTGGTTGACAAAACCGGCTCTGCATGTTGCAGAAGATGACGAGCGTCAGTACACTCGTGCCATACTGTGCGTGTATCATCTACGCCTCACTGAGACTATCTCAATTTCAAAAAGCGCCGCATCGCCTTCGAAGAAACGCAAGACCTCATACGAGACCGACCGAATGCCGAAAAAGCCTCGCCTCAGGCTCTTCGCTGTCGCAGGTCCGGTTTCAGAAACTCACAGGGATAATCAAACCAGTGATCCATTGGCCGAGTTCTTTGCCGAGTATCCGGCGTTCAAGTACAACCCACGATCGCCCATTTCAGCGCAGTACCAAGCCATGTGTGGAATGTACGGCCTCAGGAAACCCGCCAAGTTTGTGATAGAGAGCCCCAGTCAGAGAGCGCAACGGGAAAAAGTGTGGGAGCGCTACCGAATCGCGATGGGGCGTGCGTTTGCACATCAGTTTGGAAGGGACGCGTACGATCTGCGCAACTGGCAGGGTCTGTGTGTCGTTCTCGACATCTCGCCGGTCCCAGGGACAATCGAGGGTTGTAAGATAGTACGGCTCACCTGATCCCGAGCTCTTCGTCTGCTGAAAGATTTGCAGGAAATCCGGGCCCTGCATGTGAACATCGTCGATCTACTAGATACCGGACGCACCGGCCGGCCGGTCCGGAAGTTTGAATCTGAGGCGGCGCTTGCGAAGTACACTCGGGAGCATAGAAAGATTTTTCCGAAGCAAGAGGCAGATACGCTGTTATCGCATCTCCTGAGATTCCTGGCGCAGTACTGGCCCGGTGTTACGCGCCGGTAATCTATCTTTATATTCTCTGTATAATGTATATAGGCTATTTCTATGTGCTCGTTATCGACCTCGTCAGTCGGCTGTGTACACAAGAACAGAATCGCGCCACTAAATCAAAACAGATTTCTCGAACTGGCAACGATTTGCGGAAATCATGACAAAAAGACATGGGAGAGACAGTGACCTCGATAACCGCAGCTTCGGCGCCTATTTCGATTTCTGACATCGGTGGATAGAGTGTGTGAGAGAGAACAGCTTCTCGAGTGAAAAACAAGAGTACAGAGGGTCTAAATCAGGGTCGCATTTAGGGTTCGTACGTCATTTTCCGTACATTCCCTCTCAGTTTCGTACCATCGAATCATCCATGGAGCACCACACCAGTGAGACGGGCACAGACACACCGGGTCGCAATACGCGCCGCATTTTGAGGAGCACGACCAGTTCCATGCTGGAGGACGTGCGAGCCAAGTTCAGAGCCGTAGAGGCTGAGGCCACGCGTCAGGTGCGTCCGCAAAGTCATGCGAGTCAGCTACGGGTTCTGACAATTCAATGTCTTTACTTTCCAGGCCGTCGACGCCGAGGCCGCGAAGCTCAACTTGATGCTAGCAGCAGATAACGTTTTGAGCGCGGCCGAGTTGAACATGAATCGAGACCTGGTGTGTCCGCCTTGCGTTCAACTACACTTCCCGCCACCTTCCTCCTACTTACATCCTCACCGCAGAAGATCGAGAGCAAAGAACACGAGATCCCTGCGACGATGGACTATGCGGCCGCGCTCGAGGAGACACGCGAGGTGGTGCGCAGCCAGGTAGCGAGGACGGAGGATCTGCAGCAGGTGTGCCCATGTTCTCGCGGAAGCATCCACGTCTATGTTCATAGGCCCGTGCATCAGAAATTGGACGCGATGGAGAAGGCTGCCGCGCAGAGTGAGCAGAGTCTGCGCCTTGCTCAGGCCAAGGTCAGTTTCGTTCAGTGTGCCACCGACTACTAGCGACTGACGCTTGTTGCACATTCCAGACGATCGGGCTTGAAAAGGTGCGCGTGCGTTCGCCGTCGAGGTCGACTCATCTGGCGGGTTTTTAGACACTCGAAGAAATGCGGGAGGAGCACGAGGCTGCTAAGCGTCATGTGGTCGAGCTCAAGCAGGCAAAGATCATCGTGCTGTGTGGTGCAAATGCGGGGCTCATTCTGTCGATAGGAGCGGCTAGAACTAAGCACGGCAAAGTCTCAATCGGACGAGGTTCGAAGTTCCAAGATGTAAAACTGGAATGATAGCTGATCTAGAACCAATTCAGGTTGCATCGACGCTGCAAAGCAAAATCCAAACTCTCAGGGAAGAGAGGAAGACTCTCAAGAGTGTATGTGGCGTGGTTGCATTCCGTCAATCAGGCTTACGGGTCACTAGGAACTGAAAGCCACACGTACGGAACTGTCGGCGCTGAACGACAACTTGGTTCAGCTTGAGTCGATCTTGAGTGAACGCCGTGTGTACTCAGATACCCTCAGAGTACGTCCATTCGAATTATTTGAATAAGCGCTGCATTGGACTGTGCTATCCTTCTAGGCTACCCACCAGGTCGAGCTCGATAAACTCCAGAAGGTTTGCGCTCGAGCCCCACTTAGCTTTGACGTGTTTTGTTTACTCCTGGCAAGGAGTTTGACAAAGTGTCCGAACAAAAGTCAGCGTTGGAAAATGGTCTACGTACGCTACAAGCTGAGATGAAGGTGACGTCCTTCGATGTAGCTTCTGACAATAGAACTGACGAATCACCTTGCTCTGCAGGTCGTCAAAGAGCCAAAGGTACCGCCGTCCACTGAGTAAGTTCGCATCTTACTGCCGAGGCCTGTCTAACATTGCTGTAGACCAAGTTTGAAGGACCAGAAAGTGCAAGCTTGTCGCGAGCACATGCTTCGAGTTGCAGCCCCGAAATCGCCTGTGGCCCAACCGATCGTCGTGTGTCGATCCCAGATGGACCCGTACATGTTCTTTGCCGCTGTATGTACCTGCATATACTTTCTCCAGATGATGTCCTGATCCGCTCTCTGCAGAATCTCGAAACCAAGAAGCTGATTCCGCGCATCGTCTATCTCCATTCCGTTCTCATGCCAGTCTCACCCGGCCGCTCGATCTTCTTCGCCCCGGCATCCCGATTCGACGCCTCGCACAACGAATGGATTCCCGGCTCGTTGTTCCAGGCCTGGGTTGGGTCCACGATCGAGGTCGTCGTTAACCAGGCGGACGATATCGTGTATATCGGGTCCCACAAAGTGCACAATCTTGCGGCCGTGTATCCCAAGAATCTGGGATCCCCGAAGGGTTATCGATTCGTGAGTCGACTTTTCGTTCCTGTCCATTCTGCTCGTTTGTAATGCACCTCATCAGCCCGACGGTCTCTGGCGTCTCGCCACTGGGGATCAGGACAAGGACAGATGCCTGCGGACCCTCGACTCTGCCGAGGCGTATGGTTTGGAATACGTTGGATCCGACGCTGTTCTGCGAAATGCGCTGACTCGGGTCAGCGCGTCGCAGAGGGAGACGCAGAAACGCAGTGCCAGTGGTTCGGGTGCCTGCGCAGGCGATAGCAGAAGACAGAAAAAGCAGCGAAGGGTCGATTGAAATAGCTCGCTACTCATCAATGGTATCCCCCTTCATAACTGGACTTGACTAATGAGATGAGGTGTTGATCGTGAGAACGTGAGAACGTGAGTCACTGCCACCGCTGGTCTTTTCGTTCGCCCAACAGGCTTGCTACAACCGTTTCGAGCATCGCCGCTTGAGATCAGAAGTGAGAGATGAGCAGGAGGCAGGATTGTGCGGGTTGAAGAAAACATCGGTGCTCTCAATCCCCGCTCAACGCTCGTCGCGCCCCAAAATCGCGAACCGGTCCCCAGCAAGAGAAGCAGGAGAGGTTCTCTGATTGCGCAAGAGCTAGTGTTGAATCTCTCGAATACAGATCTACCACCTCCATCTAGGCTGTCTTTGTTTTGTGGCCGTCAATTCTCGGCCTTGTCAACAATCGTCTCTAGTTTCGGCTTCCCATTCATCATCTTGCCGCGTTGTAACCTTCTTCCTGCGGCGAGGCGCCACTCGATATCGCTTAGCGCTTTGCGAGATCGCCCTCCAAACGTCAAAAACAAAAGAGTGCTTTGGCCATCGCGTCGAATGTGCTCGATGCTATCCCCTTTCGGCACTATCGCTAAAGATGTTTGTTGTCCGCTACGGACATCTTTTGAAGGGTGTATAAAGACGATTGGGATGTCGATGCTGTCGTCCGTGTCGCCGTTCATCTCTCTTCTCGCCACCCTCTCCCGTCTTCCCTTCATCCATGCCGCGCGACGCACTCAAGCCATCTCCCGTACGTCCTCCATCCCGCACTCCGACCTTGCCCTCATTCCTTGCAGAAGAAACCAGAGCTGAACGAGCCCCCGCGGCGCTCGATCTGCTCCACCTGCGGAGCCAGTATCGGCCGCACGTCCGATTTGCAGCGCCACATGCTCACACACGCGAAGAACAAAGAAGAGCTGTAAGGGTCTTGTCTTTGTTCCCTCCCCCCGCGCTTGACTGATCGCGAGTCACAAAAGGATGTTCCAGTGCCCGTATCCTGACTGCAAACACCGGACGCTCCAGCGGTCGAATCTGGAGACACACATCCGTACCCAGTCAGTCATCGCGTCGATTCGGCCTATGGGCGCTGATTTCATCCGGTCCACAGCACGAATATGCGGCCTCTGCAGTGTACATACATATACACCGACGGGCTCAAGTGCGAGTTCGCCACGGCAGACCCTTCGTCGCTCCACAGACACAAGAAGCGCAAGCACGAGAACCATGGGGTGGCGCTTATGGCGCATGATGATCCTGACGACTGACTGATGCGTCGGCGCTTTCTTTCGGCGTGTGAAATCCCGCTTGCTTTGTTCTCCACGCGCTTTGGCTCAGATCTGCGTCCGCTTGAGGATGTCGTGATGTTCAAGTGTCTTTATTCACGGATATTCGATTATCTACTTATAAAATGATATCTGATTCGGCCAAGAACGGTGATGATTGAAGTCGATCGAAACGCTTTGACAGCGAGGCCAAGAGATATGTAAGTGTCAATCCTGGCCAATGCCATTCGAGTGTAGCTCAGACAGATGCAGAGCACATCAGCCGCAAATCTGGAACTCATTGTTGCAACTTCAGTAGACTACACGCGGAGAGAAAGTAGAGATGAAGACGGAAGCGCCCCTTCGAGCGAAGAAGACGCCAGTATGCTAAGAGGATGAACACTCCGGCTTGGATGAAATACCAGAGTCAACAAGTTTTGAAGTCAAAGTTCTCGTGTACGAAGCGATCCGAGGGCACAGCATTCACGAAGAAAGGAAGAAAGAGCAAGCAAGATCGAGCTAGGCCGCACGCCAGTCTCTGAGAGCCGAGAGATGCTGTTGGGTCTTGCGTATGCTGGACGTCTCGCGCCAGAGGTCTAGAACGACTTGAATGTCCACATCGTAGATGTCTGCCAGCAAGTTCGCGGCGATTTGGATGCAAGGGATCGTGTCGCAAGATGGGAGAGCGGAGAAGATAGCATAGCGTGAGATAGGTGGTGCAGTGGTGTAGCTGTCGAGAGCACTGGGAACCGTCGGGATAAGCGTTCGGGCACGACAAAGGCTGACCCGGACCTGAGATTCGAATCCGGCCGTGGAAGTCTGTCGTCGACGATCGTCAGCTCCATGCATGATTGAGAGAAGTCGAGGTCAGGGTCCAAAGGTGGCTCTGTAGATCCCAGATGCGGCGACTCGTTAGCTCTATCAGCATGGAAGTGTTTGAGAAAGAAGTGAGAAGGCGGCAAATGAGTATATGCACCCCACGAGCAGGTTCTCTACCTCCAACATCACACCGCCGTAAGCCTCGGCGTCGTCTTCAGCTTGCGTACCCAAGTCTTCGCTAGCGGCTACACCCTCCTTCGCCTGTTGCGGTAGCAGTTCCTGCCGCACTAGCTCAAGCTCCAGGTCCTCGCGCTCGTTCTCGGCCACCAATCTGTCGACACGCGCATCGTAGAGAGGGCGGAAACGTAGGAAGCGCTGGAGCCAGGAGGCCGTTGAGTGTCGCTTTGCCCAGGACAGCTGCATCTCGCCTGAACCACAGAACGACCATCCGAGCGCGGTGCAGGCCCACCGTGGACAACGGCGCAAAGGAGGACATGCTTGAGCGCTTGCTGCGCGGGATTCCGGCCAGGTATTCGACGAGTCGATCTTCTTCTTCCGGGAGAAAGTCGTTGCGAGGCATGCTGGTGGTGGTGCGGTGAGAGAGAGAGAGAGAGAGCGAAGCACTGCCACCAGTGAGAGTCCTTGAATCTTATCGCGCGCGACACCGCTTTCCGCCTTTACAGCCAAGTCCCACCGAAGTCTCTCGACGCTTTGATCCTCTCTTTGAACTCGAAGCGCTGCTTTCACTGCATGGGCGTCACCAGAAACGGACCAGTGTCTTGCAACCCATCCAGGAAACACCGGAGATGTCTGCGCATGACTACACACTGCGTTCCCCCTACCTATGCGCGCCCAGCTGGAGGAGCTCTTCCCTTCGATCACGCATACCTTTCATGGACTTGATCGTATTATGTTGTTCAGTCGTCGGTTGGACGACGCTTTCGCTGCTGCTGCGCCAGATGCGCGGTGGTCGTCTGGGATCGATGAACTGTTGATGATCGGCCGTCCGCTATGTGGAACTTATAAAGGCATGAAATTCCAAGTCGTACTATGCTGCAGAGAACGAGATCGTGTATGACCATGATCTAGGCCTCTGGTTTCGAGACACGCGACGCTTCCCAGTGCGGCGGTTGACGAGAAGTTTCAGAGCGAGCGTGTGCCGACTGGAGATAGTCCCCTTACAATGTGGCGAGTTTCTATCAGATGAATGTGCTCTTATTCCTATCCTCAGCCTCGCGGCGAAACCCTGGCTAGGACCGGTCTGCCGGCCATGCTTCCACTGCCCTCGTGAGTGCCCCGCTTTCTGTGTCGTATCGGGCTCTCCTAGGTCCGAAGGCTAGAGGAGACAGACTGACAGATTCTTCCTACTGCGATGTTCTTTATCGGCCATCGTTGTGTCTGAATCTGATCAGATTCTGGGCTCTCAGATAATCGCTACGAGTTTGTGTTATACATACATCAGCCACACAGCAGTCCAAGCACAAAATCGACGTTCAACAGTAAGAAATTCAAGATATTCGAACTAGCGACAGTTTCGGTGCAACAATCAAAGGAGAGACAGTATATGGTATATACGAGAACTTGTTTTTTTTTTGGCACGGGGGGCAATGCAATTACGGGCTATCTTGAAGATTCAAACCGCGGTCACTTCGCTCGGGTTGAAGTTCCCAAGATCCTGGCTCTTCTTGTGGAACTGCTAAGGAATACGGCGTCAGCAAGCCAGCCCCGAACGCACCAAGCAAGTGCCAGAAGACACAACGATATTTATTACGCACCGCATCAGAGTCATGATCCACGGTGACCTGCACTTGCAGCCGCTTGCGGGCGCTCGAGCCGACCGTGTCCATGCTGATCGAGTTCCACCCCTTGTCTTGCGAGGTCATCTGGTCGCGCAGGCGGCTGCGGGTGTTGAGGCTGGATCAGACGCGTCCGAGTCGTGAGCTCGCGGGCGCCGGGGGAGGCGGGCGGTACGTACGTAGCGAGCATGCTGTTCATGTACACTGAATGGATGCTTTGTCGGTGCTGTAAGTAAACGGAGAGGAGATCGTACATTTGCTGCTCGGGGCCAGCCCGAGGAAGAACCAGAACGTGTCGGGGACGGCCAGGAACTGGTGCAAGAAATGAGCGGCGGCGGCGGCGGCGGTTTGAACCAACAAGCCCGCACAAGAATGATAGTCGCGGCCGAGGCGAGCGAAGTGAGCGTCCCACGGTTGATCGCGTCGTAGCTGCCGTGGAAAGGTATATAACTAGGTGCAATAGAACCGAGACGGCACGTACAACAGGCGGTCGATCATGTAGTTGGTCCTGCAACGAAAGCAACAGTCAGCGGGCCGAACACCTCGACGCCGGAAAAAAACGACTCGCTTCGATACCCCGGTCTTCTGGTGCTTCAAGAAAATGCAGAGATAGACCGTGATCAGCAGATCGCAGGCGAGCGAGGCGGCGCCTTGCAACGTCGTGATGGCCTGCGCAGCGATCAGTATTATGTAAAAAGCGGCGAAAAAGCACGCAAGGGTCCGCACCTTGGTCGAGTCAAGGTTCGCGTAGAACCGGACTTGGTGTCTAAAAAAGCGATGAACACACACAAAAAAAAAACAGGGTGTGTGTGCGATGGAAAGAACGTACGAGACGATGACCTGGGCGATCCCGGCGCCAACTTGGAGGAAGGCAAAGAGGCCGATGAAATACATGCCGATGGCAGCGAGGCTGAAGGGCTTGCGTCCGCGGGTCACTATCCCGGCCAGTCAGCCGTGAGGGGTTGAAGACGAGACGAACGCTGGGAACGAACGCTTGTGCACCCGCGAGGCGAAGAACCTAGATCGAGGTGGTCAGAGACAAGAGGTGCGCAGAGCATGAAAGACACACAGCTGAACGCAGAAGGCGGAGAGATACTGCAGAGGCATAAGCGCAAGTCCAGAAGAAAAAGCAGTGACGTACAGCGGACAACAATTGAAGCTGCGCCAGAGAACGTTTGTCAGTGCAGCGAGGAATAGCGTGAATAGAGTGGTACCGAGTCCTCCCTAAGTCAACCATGAGCAACGCGAAAGCACCCAAAAATTTCGACTCGCCAGATGACTTCTCCCTGTGGGATGCCGAAGAGATCGACGAACCGCGAGTAGGACGACTTGAAGAAAAAGATGACCTGGATGATTTCCAGAACCCTGGCCGGCAACGTCAGCGACGGTGCGGATTCAACTGGACGACCTACACGACGACCCCAACCTGTAAAGAGAGAGAGAGAGAAGAAGCAGAAAAAATGAGTCGCCCGATTCCACAACCGCGGTTCAGAAGTGACTCGCCGTCGACTTGATGTACGCGGTGTCGTTGTTCCAGCTGAAGCAGTAGATCCAAGCCTGGAGCGCGCCGGCGCCGAAGAGCATAGTCTCGATGAAGAGCGACACGAGCCAGACGCCGTACGTAGAATCGAGGGCACTGGACATGGTGGGTGGTCAGTGGGAGTGCAAGGGCGCAGAGACGAAAGGGATGGAGAGCCTCTCCCTCCCTCGCCGCAGAATATATCCGGAACCACACGGTACCGCCACATTCGCCTGTCGGACTTTGAACCTTGTGCGCGGTTCCTGTTCCCCCCATCGTGCGCAATCAGAGGCGGTTTCCCGTATTTGAGCTTATGGGAGCGACTCAACATTGGGATCAGCTTCTGCGCTTGCACGATGCCAATCACATCAGAAGCCGCACTGGTGTTTGGGGCGTTTGCGTTCCCTTTTGGCCTCGATCACGTTGCACACGCCGAGTTACCGCCGACGCGGAAGGTCCAGAAGACGGGGCTTGGATCTGCAGGGTCGCACACCTGGCGTGAGTCTAGGCACGTCGTGCTACCGGCCAACCGCCGCCAAAATAAGCTTGCGATGTGCCTACCGGAGTTGCACAATCAGTCACCAGAGAAACCCCGTCATGCGGAGCGCTTGGACGGAAGTTGAACATTTTCTCTCACAGCAGTCACGGGATCGTGTTGCTTTCCTCCATTCAGTAATTACAGCGCCCGATGATGCGAGCAGGCCGATTCTTTCCATCCAATGGTCTGCAGTACATAGTGACTTACATTTTATTCTCCTGATTTCTAACGCTGACAAGTTTCAGAAATCTGATACGCTCAACGCCCGGGACTGAGTTGTCAGACATCGAGTCCGAGACACTCCTATCATCATCTCACCTTGGCTATGATCTCCATCTCGTCTCTATCGGCCGCACTGCTCTATGCTTCGCTCGCCGCTGGTCTGGGACTCGAAGCCGCATCAGTGACACTCGACTGTGCGCTCCTGACTGGAATTTTCCCGGATGTACTGCGACTTTGCCTCAGACGGAACGTTCGCCGGCCTGGTGGATCTCGAGCAGCGCATCGTCTACTTTCGCGGGGTGCGGTACGCAGATCCGCCCCAGCGATGGACGGCTCCGGTGTCTCCGCCGACTGGGCATTTGGGACATGTGCAAGCCACCACGGTGGGTGCGCGCATCAACTCTACATGCCCGGTTCTTTCAACATGTCCCAGTACGGCAGCGCGTGCATCTCGAACACACAGACGACGGTGGCAGAGGGAACCTCCGAGGACTGCTTGTTCGGGAATGCAAGTGCGCCTCGAGAGGACGATCGCTCCACCTACTAACTTCAAACCACACGCAGATCTACGCACCGACGACGACCACGGGAGACAATCCGCTCCCGGTCCTCGTCTACTTCCACGGCGGCGGATTCGAGGACGGAAGCACGCACGACTATGCACCCGAGCACATCATGCAGTCGTCCGCCCATCCGCTCGTGTTTGTCACATTCGAGTTCCGGCAGGGTCCGCTGGGGTTCCTGGGCGGTGCTGCGGTAAAGAAACACGGCAGTCTCAATGTGGGGCTCTTAGACCAGGTTTGCCGATGCCATCTTCAGGTCCGCAATCCCATGCTCACAGGGCACAACAGCAGGCGGCTCTTCGCTGGGTCCAGCGGTACATCCGCAAATTCGGCGGAGACCCGGCGCGGGTGACGATCTGGGGCGAGTCGGGCGGTGCGGGTGCGACGATGTTTCATCTGATAGGATCGGATCCTCGTCTCTTCCACCAGGCGATGGGGGACAGCCCGTCTCTGAGCTACTTGCCGGCGTACGATGATCCATACGTGGAGTCGCTCTTTACCGAGTTTGCTCGGAACGCGTGAGTCTCCCCATCACGGGCCCATTCGCCAACTCACACTCTGTCTATAGGGGCTGCCTCGACTTGGATTGCCTACGCTCCGTCCCCGCAGACACCATCGCTGCCGCAGGCCAGAAGGTGCTAGCCTCGCACCCAGCCACGCTCTATCCCTTCGCCCCAGTCTTTGACGGCGCCTTCTTCGCGCAGCGCCCAGTGGAAGCCTTTTCCAGCGGTCGATTCGCGCGGGTCCCCGTGCTGTTCGGCTCCAACACCGACGAGGGCGCGGGCTGGAGCGCCAGCCTCGCTGACGGCGCGGCCAACACGGCGTCGCCCAACGCGACGCAGGCGACCGTGTACAGTTTCCTGCGCGGGCAGTACGCGGCGCTCAGCCAGAAGTCCTTCGACACTGCCGTCCGGCTGCACTACCCCCTGGCCGCCTACGGCGGGTCCGTCGGCCTGCAGGCGCAGCAGATGTACGGCGAGCTCCGGTACATCTGCACGGCTGTTTTGGTCACCGAGTCTGCCCGGCCGGCATACCACTACCGGTGTGTGCCGCAGCATGAAAGTACGCACATGCGGTGTCTGACTGCTATACAGCTGGGACAACCCCTCGCTCGGGTCTCACCACGCCGCAGACCTCGCCGCCTTCTTCTGGGACACGTCGGCCTACGGGAACGACGACCGCACCCTGATCGATGCGATGCGGCAGTACTTCACGGCCTTCGTCACGGAAGGAGCGCCCGCCGCACCAACTGCAGCTGTTTGGGCGCCAGTATCCTCGGCCCACGGCTCACCGCGCCTGCTGCTGAATCCGTCGGAGATACGCTTGGAGACCGTCCCGGAGGATCTGAGTGCGCGTTGTGCGTTTTGGCACGGGATCGCGGCGGAGCTACGGGTCTGAGCGGGTGGTGGGGGTCGAGGGGTGTTTCGGAAGAGAGGCTCTGATGCCCATAGAAGAGGTGTCTGACACCGTATCATAGGGTCCCCAGTAGCTTTCCGCCTTGCAGGTTGAAGGAAAAGATCAGCGCCCAACAAGTCTTTCCGATTGATCCGCAACGCCGGCGTTTGCCGAACGCATTTTGCAGCAGCGGAAAATACGGTATGTACACAGGTAGTACGTCTAGAAAGTGTACACGAGGAATTCCAGCCGACTAGTACCGGGTGCTCTTCGGTTTTACAGAGGCAGAGCCTGATACACCGCAAGTCAGCCCACGTGAGGGAGGGAGGACAGAGGATAAAGGCGCACGAGAGTAGATTTTCTTCACCTTCTTCACCGGCGATGGAGAGGGCGAGGTCGTGATGACGATTTGCTCCCCCCGCTTGACACGGACGACGCTTTCTGTAGATTCAATAAGCCCCTATGCTCGTAACTTGTCAGAGCGCACTGCTCACGGGGAGGGCGTTGTGGCTTCTTGACGGGGCTAGCAGGCGGCGACTCAGAATAGTCAACCTCTAGAATCGCAAAATGGGTCAGTCAGCAGGGGGAGAAAGGATGACCAACGAGACTGGACTGGGCAACCGCACGCACTCATCGTTGATTTCCGTCGGCACCGTCGCTTCTTGGGTGGCTCCTCAAACTCGCTCTCGGACTCGGTGTTCAGCGCGTCTCCCTCATTCTCCTCAGAGTCCGACTGGTCCCACTCATTCATCTTGCGCTTTGCGCATGTCTTCGCTGCTGCTGTCGAGCGAGGGCGTGAGCCGCACTGCTCGGATGTTGTCAACTTGAACACGGAGGAAACGCGCCTTCCTTGAGAAGCAGACTTTGGGCGGCCGCGACGTCGCCGGTTTTCTTGAGGATTTGGGCGATGTCGCGTTTGGGGTGGCCCGATGCTTCGGCGAGGTCGTCGATCGACCGTTGAATCGTGCGTCGCTGTGTGCAAACAAAGAAGAAGAAAAGAATGAGATGCGGCTCTCAGGGAGTACCCAGCGAGCTTACCGCTTCTTCGAATGTGAAAGAAACGCCGGCGACTGTGATGAAACAGAGGTCTCTAAGCATCCAGCAAGACGAGAGAACATTACGAACCGTTCCACCTATCGAGAGCAAAGTCAGCATCAAACCAACCAGTCAGTATGATGGGAAGCGTACTCGGCTCGCTTCTTCAGTATCTCGATGGCTTTATGCAAAACCTCCGCCTTCTGGGCAGCATACGTCCAGCCCTGGGGTTTATGCCCACGAGACCACAGATGTTTGGACTTGAAACACTGAGCGTGCCGTAGAAATTGGGGCCCCGAGTACTCACATGTGCGCCGCCGAGTCCCAGCGCCCCGAACGTGTCGACGTGCGTGAGATCTGCCTTCGCAGGCAAGTCTGCGACGATGCGCGCGATGGACGCCATCTCCTCGTCTGTGTACGCTTTGCGGGTGTGGTCCGAGCGGGGCATATATGCTGCGCGAGGGGAGGGTGTATGCACTATGTATGAGGGACCGGTGCAGGATCTTATACACAGCTGCTGCCGAGTGTGTGCCGTGGCCGGATTCTCGGTGTCGAACCACGAGCTTTGGAAGTCCGTGGACGGTGAGACTGTACGTGATCTGTGCTCGACCGATCATCGCAGTCGCTGTCTGCAGCAAGACCCCGTTCCTATGCTCAGCACCTCTCGCATGCATCGGCATCGAAATGAATCTGCTGCTGAGTTGATATTCACTTGCGATGTCTCGCTGCTACTACACCTCTGCTGCGCACGAGAAGAAAGCCGTTCTGGACAGCCGGGAGAATGCCTGCTACACAAGCGAGGATTGTGGTGGAGGAGAGAAGGATGCGGCATGATCGGTCCTATCAATCGGTGTGGGAACGTCTTAATGAGCTCACGCGAGGATCATTCGAATCCGACAGCCCATCCCTTTCATCGCACCGCAGCAGAACATGGGCTACGCGTTCACCTTCTCGATGACTTTGTCGAGGGGCTGGGTTTTTGGAGTCGCGGCTCGCAGTGGATGATGGTTCAGGAACAGAGGTCGGTCTGGTTTTAGAATGTTCCTGTGATACTTGAGTTAAACTTTCGGGGCCGGCGCTGAGATCTCAGAAGGCTAGGGTTGACGGCAACGGTAGTCATCTAAATGTGTAAGTACCCAGGGTCGAGCTGTGTGGCCCCGGATGCGGTTCGAAGGAAGCCGGAGGCAGATCGTGTCATTTTCGCATGCAGACAAAGAAAGACTAACGATTATACCGCATGTTTGGGCCACTTTGGACCAAGTCCAAAGAAAGAAATCTGAACAGGAAATGCTTCCCGGTCACTTTCAAGGCTGAGCTCATTACAGAAATGTTGAAATTTTTCAAGTGCCATCACTGAGAGCCCGATAAATTATCTGTGTTCGAAATGGTACAAAACTCGGCTATTCCACACCGGGACCTGTGCGGTCCATCCATCGACCATGAAGTACAACTTACACGTAACACGATCCACGCGTCGCTGGCTCTCTTGATCTCCTGCAGCATCCTGCTTCGAAATAAAAGTCCGCTCGCGCCTTACGCCCTGCGGACTATCATCAACAGCTCTGCCCCGCGTCCCTTCGATTTCGGACGCCCGTCGCTATCCTCGACGACTTGTGCGTTTCCCGGAAGCTCGAACGCGAAGCTGCCCACCAGCACAGCCAGAACGACCTGCGCTCCAATATCAGCTTATGGCGGTGCGTGTGCGGCGGCAGGAGCAACACCAGCCTTGATCAGCACGCCCGACATCTCGGTCCCGAGACACATGCGCGGCCCGTCGCCGTGCGCGAGGTGCATGCCGCCCGGGAACCCCGGCGCGTCCTGCAGGAGCCACCACCGGTCGGGGTCGAACCGGTGCGCGTCGGGGCCCCAGAGCGCCGGCGCGCTGTTGAGGAAGGCGACCGGGGCGGCTACGGCGGTGCCCTTCGCGACGCGGATGCTCGTCACGGACTCGCCGCTCTTCGTCACGATCGGCGCGCTGAGCGGGATCACGTCGTCCTCGGCGGCCTGGGGGCGAGTCAATGCGCGAGACCGGCGGAAGCGAGAGGTGGTCGCGTACCACGCGGACCGTTTCGGTTATGGGAGGGTGGAAGCGCAGGCCCTCGCTCACCACCGATTGGAGGTAGGGCAGGCTTGATAGCGTCTCTGGGTCAAGTTTCCCGCGGAGCGTCCCCAGTTCAGAGCGCAGCCTGTTCTGTACTGCTGTATTCCGAGCCAATTCGACGAGGAGCCACTGGAATCCCGGATAAGTCTAGGGTGGATAGCGCCGGAAATTACTTGCACTCAGCGTCACTGCGTGTTCAATCAATGGTCAGTTCGGCTCAGTCTCGCGCGGATTCAAAGTCCTCGCCTGATGTCGTTTCCAAGCCTATTAAGGTTAGTAGTGAGCGGAGATGTGTACCGGCCGAGCGCACCAGAAAATAGGATCGTTTTCTGTTCCTGCGTAAAATTGTGTTGTAACTTGGAATGGAGGCACTCACGATCTGTATACAAGCTCAGAAGAATCATTTGGAAGCGTGTCTCAGCACGCACCTGCGCCAAAACCTCGGCCTTTGACAAGCGGAACTCGCCCGCAGGATGCCTGGCGAGCGAGTCGACTGACTGCCGTGAGCCCAGGACACGATCAGAGAGACATCCCCCTCACTCAGCGAGCTCATCATACAAGTGTCTTGCTTCTCATAACCGTTCAGGATATCGTCAGCCATGCGGTCGACGTAGCCCTCGAAGTTCTTGAGGACCTTGTGCTTCGCAGACGGGATGCGCAGGAGCCACGGGTGCTTGAGCGCTTGGGTGAACAGCCAGTCGGCGGGCAGCCGGAGCGCGAAGAACGCGGCGATAACAACGTTGTAGTTGCCACTGAGCGCGTCAAAGTTGTGGTTAAAGCACGTGACGCCCAGCGCGTCCAGTCTAGGGAGAATCAAGACAAGCAGGTAGACAGAGGAGCGTATACGAACACGATACTGGTTGTCCTGGACCGCGCCTGAGTAACGCGCGATTCTGCGTAGACAAAACTGGGCGTACCAATGATGGGCCTCGACTACAATTCCTAGAGGCTGCGACTCCAGCGCGCTCCCCCATTTGTTGTAGACCTACAACAGTATCGGCGGGAGATCCAAGGATGCGAGCGTGCAGCAGGCTCCCTTACTTTGGCCACCGTGTCGCAGAATGCGGGAAAATAACCTGCAACCGCGGAAGCACTGAAAAATGGTGCAAGCGCTTGTTTATGACTGCACGCCGCTGAGCACAAAACGAATATGCGCAAGCTCAGGGAAAAGGACTCACCCGCTGTGGTCCGCCCCATCCACCCACGTCAAGCCCCTGCCGACCTAACCACCCGATGGATTAACCGGCCGCTCCGCCGAATACCCAGTGCTCACGAGGTTCTCTGTGATTTTGCGAGTTCCGGGATCGAGGCGGTAGATTCCAGCGGCATTTGCATAAAAGTGCGCTGAGCATCGGCACAGTTCAGCACGGACCTCCTAGCTGTAGGGGCTACACACTTATTGCTCTGGGGTCACACAAGACGACCTTGCGGGTCCAGAGCCGCACCGGGACCGAGAACACAGGCCCGTAGCGCGCGGCGCAACTGGCGACTGACTCCCCGGTGGCAGGAGGTCCTTGGAGCGCCGTGGAGCACCAATGGCAGCGGAGCGCGCGGCAGGTGTAGAACACGGCCCATACGATGATGATCAAGGTGCACGTGTAGACGAACCACAGGCTGACCAGGGTCACGATGAGCGCGTCGCCGTGCATGAGAGTAGGGAGGGGGGAGGAGGGTGGGTGGCGAAGGGGTCGACGGCCGCGCTAAAGCGGCCGTGAGACCCGAGTAAACTCAGTTAGCAATGCGAATGAGGCTCCGATGCTGGACGCGAGAGGTACGCGAGGAATAAATCGGTCGGTACCAGGCAGTCCCGTACCAAGTGGATGACCTTTCCCATTCGAGAATAACGCGTCCTCGTGGATGACGAGAGAGTCAATCGGCATAGCAAGGATCCGGACGCCTCGAACGACCATCCTTGTCAAAGAGTCTTAAAGAGTAAGAGGCGGTGCTGATCCGAGTCGGTAGTATCCTGTAGACATCCGCGAGTGGACGAGGCTTCCGGAACCTACACACACGGGTACGAAATGCGCGGTGTAGACACTAGTTCGTTCCAACAAACATTGACCTGGGTGGGGAAGTGGGCGCGGTCCGGCCCCTGTCGCACATCTTTCACGCCCAGCGCTTTAGTTGCATTTCATAGGTCGCTATTATGGGACAACCGGATTCGTGTCTGGGCTTGTGATACGTACGTCTCCCTTTCGAGTTGACAATCATGTGCAAGAACAACCATGCGCCCGCTTCGGTCATCGTTGACGCAAGTTGGCCACGACGAGAGTGCGCATGAACGAGATGGCAGTGTTTTCGACGTGGTATATGAATTTTGCTATGCCTACTGGCGCTCAAAGACTGTGCCGACCGACGGCACGTGAAGCAGACCGTCGTCCGTGAGATAGACAAGGTCGTTGGGATGACCCTGCGAGTACCCATCGTCAATCGCAGTCCAAGAAGACATGCAGTTCTTGGACGGCGAGGCAAACACCATTCTGTTGAACGCACATAAGCACAAGGCCAAAGAACTGGGAAGCACACCAACCGGAATTCGTGTAAACGACCTGTAGACCAAAGGGCGATTGGCTCTGGAGCTGGCAAAACCACGCCGAGAACGTCAGTACCATTGAGCCGCAGCTCAGTCATCCAGAGCGATCCATCCATGACTTTGATCGTCAGTTTCGACTCGTCGTTGCCGTCGATCGGAGTCCATGCGCCAGAATACAGCTCAGCGGCATCCGCCGCAAGTAATCGATCCAGGACCGGCTGCATCTCGCGAAAGATGTCTAGGACAAGATCATTGATGGGTGTCGTTCCAGTCATGAGGAGTGCGACCCCATAGGCCATGTCCTGGTTGATCGCAAACGCACTCCGAGAGGCACCGAGAGTACCAACTACACGCGCCGACGAGATGAGATGGATTCCGCGGCACTAGGGTTGCTTACGTTTCTGGAAAATGCGCCGTGGGCGGTTGTGCGAATCCCGGATCTTCTCGATCTCCCACAGCATTCCGATCTCCGTTGATTCGTCCGCCCACCAGCCGTGCAGGGGTCGCATCCACTCTCGTATGACCCACGGAGGGAGGAGGCTCTCGGGGCGAGTTGGGTCGAGAAAGGTTTGCATGAGCTTGACGTAGTCCGACAGCGAGCTCATCTGTCCGCCAGAACAGGCCATGATATCCAAAAAGTCGTAGTCCTGACGGATCAATGTTAGAGAGAGATCGAAACCCGTGTTCCGAAATGCACTCACCACTTCTTCGCTGAGCCGGGAAGCGACAGCTACGTGGGCTCTGTTCTCTGGTGTCACGAGGAACGAGCTGCCGTTGAGGCCGAGCGGGTCGAACAGATCTCGTTGGGCAAGTTCCGGCCAAGACTTCGGAGTGTCGTGGCGGGCGGCTTCGAAGGCCTTATTAGCTGCGACGTTGACTTGCCCCAACAGCCCCATTGCGACGTTCGAGTACACCGGATAGTGGTAGGTCGGGACATTGAGCGGCAGTATCTTGAGCCCCTCGATCGTCTCCTGCGTGGTTGGGAACCCGCGGCCGTTGTCGGGTGGTGGACCCGTGCCTTCCAGAGAGTGTGGCCAATGGAGCATGTCGCCACGGGGAAACTCGCGCGTGAGACCCGACATGTGGCTTGCAAGCTGCCGGACAGTTATCGGGCCTGAAGCCATCCGACCGTCCTTGGTCCCGCCCCACCCATCTGGCAGATAGGTAAAGTCCGGAAAGAACTTGTGTACCGGGTCGTCCCTAAACTCGATGGATCAAGCCAGTGAAGCCTGGACGAGGTCCTATACGTACAGGTTGAGAGCACCCCTTTCTCGTAACACCCATGTCTCTAACACTGCGAAAAGCTTGGAGCCAGACGCCAAGCGGAAGATGCTATTTCTGTCAATGTGTCCCCGTTTTGCCACATCCGTCTCATTCGCTTTGAGAGGGCCGATCGCACGCTCATAGATCGCTCCGTCCCGAGTGACTATCGCCACGATCAGTCCGTCGATCCCACCCTGAGCATATTGTGCCTCCACCAGCCGATCTACGTTCTTCAGCGCGAGCGACACTCCCGGTAAGCCAGCGTTAAGCGCAGTCCGATCAAAGAGGTTGGGGAGAGGAGCTAAACATCGGGGTGGCACTGTTGCACTACGGTGGTGCTGCGCGAGCAGAGCCAGGGAGGCCGAGATGATGGCGGTCAGAACGAGACTGGCACAAGTGCGGAAGCGGTACGTCGACGGTCCGCCGACGGTCCGCGGATGCCCTTGAGCCTTTCCCCTTTGAGTTCCCGATGAGGCTGAGGATAAAGAGATAGTGACGCTCACATTTTGAGTGAAATCGGAGGCTCAGATGAAGTAGGATCACTCCGTCAGGTGCGCGCCGTGGGCGGAGGCATTCGGAAAATCGTCACATGATATTGATTGTCAAAAGTGAAAAGTACACGTGACTCATAGCGCCCCCACTTTCAACCTGAACGTTCTACGATGGTCGGGTTCGCGTCCCGCTGGATCTACTTGGAAATTTACCACGTCCTGGCAGAAATGGGCTGAGCTCCTACAAGTTTGCGCTGCATTCAGACGACAAAGATCGGGACGGACCGTGAGGGTGCAAAGCGAATTCGAGATTTTCCGATCAATTACGTCATACCTTCCAGCCGCTTGATCTTTCTTTTCCTCCCGCCCCGCATCCAGCCGTTCGCGCCGTCCGCGAAATGTTGACCCCGCCGCGACGCGACCCGGCGCGCTCCTCGGCCAAGAATATAAAAAAGCGAGCTGGCCACGGCACCTACCTCATCACACATCTCCCCCTCACACCATGGCTGCCTCCAGTTCCTCCTCGCTCACGATGTCCCCTCACCTGGCGGATCTGCAACCCGTCCGTGTCAAGTCTCACGATGACGCCCCCGGCGCCCCCGATCTCAGCTTCCCGTTCGACACGACCGACACCGCAGAGGCCGGTGTGACGAACGAGTATCGCGCCGCGACAAAGAGCGGTCTGATGTCTGCAACGGAGGCTCTGCGGCCCATACCCGCACACACGGCCGTGCAGCCCCACGCGCTCTCTGACCCCGAAAAGGCGAAGGCGCTTGAAAAATACGAGTTCGTGACCTGGAAAGTGAACGACCTGGAAGATCCCCGAAATTGGTCTACCCTGTGGCGGTGGTGTAAGTCTCTCTTTCGACTCGTGGTATCGAGTGCTTATGCCTGGCTCTCAGATATCACCGGTGTCGTTACAATCGCCGTCGTCTCCGTCGCCTTCGGTAGTGCTGTCATCACGGGCGACTTCAAGGACATCCAGTCTGAGCTGCACATCGGCGAAGTCGTCGCTGCCCTATCAGTCTCTCTGATGGTCGTCGGATTTGGGTACGTCTATTGTCTGCTTCTCTTAAGTCAACGCTTATCAGAATGAACAGTCTTGGTCCTCTCGCGTGGTCGCCGCTGAGTGAACTTTACGGGCGGAGACCTCTCTGGTTGATACCTTCCGTCTTCTACGTCGGTGCGTATCCTACCTCATCGATCATCTATGCAAGGACGCTCACAAAGACCCCGCAGTCTTCAACATTCCATGTGCCCTAGCGACAAACATTCAGACGCTGCTCATCTGCCGATTTTTGTGCGGCTTTTTCGCATCTGCACCACTCACTCTTGCCGGTGGCACGATCTCTGACATCTGGGACAACAACGAGCGTGGGCTGGCCATCGCATTCTTCGCTGCTGCACCGTATGGCGGACCTGTCCTTGGGCCCATCGTCGGTGGATTCGTCGGTCAGAGCATTGGGTGGCGTTGGATCATGTGGGTCAACATGATCTTTGCCGGTGTCGTGTGCGTATCCTTCTGTCTGCCAGCGCTTTCGGTGCTCATCGGTCTCATAGTCTGCTCTTCTGTGCCACCATTCCGGAAACCTTCGCGCCTGTGCTGTTGCGCAAACGTGCTGCCGCCTACCGTGCCGAGACTGGTCGGGACGACATCGTCACTGAGCAGGAGTTGTTCAAGAAATCTTTTGCCCATATGCTTATCGACACCCTCATCCGGCCTTTCCGTTAGTGTTCTCCGCGCTCTCGCGCTAATCTATATGCTCACTTCGCAACAGAAATGATCGTCACAGAGCCCATCCTGCTATTGATGTCGCTGTACATTGCTCTCATCTACGGCCTTCTCTATGCGTTTTTCTTCAGTTTCCCCGTCGTCTTCGGCGAAGGTTACTCGTTCAGTGATGGTCTTGTCGGTCTCACGTTCTGCTCCGTGTTGATTGGAGTCGCGTTGGCTCTAATTGCGACGACCCAGCTGGAGAAGAACTATCTCCAGCGTGCTATGGCGAAGGGTGGCCGTGCTGATCCTGAAGATCGTTTGGTTGGAATGATGCTTGCTGCACCTTTCGTTCCCATCTGTAAGCCCCTCATTCGATGCACTTGAGAATCTTTCAACTGATTGCTCTCTGCAGCTCTCTTCATTTTCGGATGGACGAGTCCCCCGTATGTGATGCCGGGTGGTGGCAACTGGGTCGGACCTGCCAGTGCTGGCATCCCCTTCGGATTCGGCAGTACGTTCTTTTCCCTCACTGCTCTTTCGCCTTGACTGATCAACATTCAGTGGTCGTGATCTACTCGTCTGCCAATGCATACCTGATTGATGCGTTCCCCGGCTACGTGGCCTCCGCTCTGGCTGCCAAGACGGTCATTCGTTCCGGTGCTGGTGCGGCCATGCCTCTGTTCATGGTGCAGATGTTCCACGGCCTGGGCAACGGATGGGCTGCGTCGTTGCTTGCCTTCGTCTCGCTCGCCATGGTCCCCATTCCGTTCCTGTTCTACAAGTTTGGCCGCTCGATTCGGGCTCGCTCTCAGCGTGCGGCTTAGTGCCCCGTCTGTCATCTAAAAAGTATTGTAGCCTCCACTCGCACTAGAGCACAGCGAGCTGTATAGTTTCTCTTTACCTATGTAGTCGTATACCTGGCGTTCATAATAGGGATAATAATTATATACATACCACGTCTGAACCGGGAGCATATCGCACGTTTCGTGCTCATTCGTCATCATATCGCATTCCTCGGTCACAACCGTCACACACAGATTTCCCCACTGGCTATGACGCCGTCTTCAGTTGCTTCTGCTTTCAGCCCGTTATGATTTGTTCTCGCGCCGTATTCCGGTGCTTCAAAGCCCTAGAGAGGCTGGGAGACCGACTCACAGGCGCCGCAGGGCCTTTCTTCGTGACATTCGCGGTCGTTCTCATCGGTGCAGGGATTATCTGTTTCTGTGAGCGCAATTAAGTTACATCTCACCGAAGTCTTAGCTGACTGTTCAAGACCACATCATACTCCCGGACCTCAATTGGCCGCTCCTTACGGCTCCCGTGTGCATATTAATCACCCTCAACCTCGTGCTGCACTACTACTACGTGGTGACCGTTTCTCCGGGGTTCGTGGACGACCCGCCCCCAGACTCTCTACACGGGATACTTTGGGCGTCGAAGAGGCAACCTTCAATCCGCTGGTCGGCTGACCTCAATGTCACGCCGGCCACAACGACGAAATGTCGGAAGTGTGGTCAGGTCAGGCCCGAGGTATGCTTTTGCGAATCTCGTTCCTCCGCTTCCCGCTGACCATCCCGAAGAGAGCACACCATTGCCGGATATGTAACCGTTGCGTTCTCAAGTATGACCATCATTGTCCAGTGCGTCGTTCCTAGTATGTCGCGTTTGGTGAGCGTGCTGATGCGGTGAACCAGTGTGCGGGCTCTCTCCGTCGCAAAGCAACGCTTCCTCTGACACTGTATCCACAGGGATAAATCAATGCGTCGGCCTACACAATGAGCGCCATTTCGTGATGTTCATGGCTTACCTCATCATCGCCTGCGCGGCATTCTGCATCACTGGCCTTCCGCATGTCATGCTCGCGCTCGGAGTCTCAGCATCCTACACCTACGAGGTTCCTTTTCTCCTTCCGAAGCACCTCGACCGCTGGATCTAATCGTGCTTGATAGATCGATTGGCCGTATCTTGTGCCGCAGGTCATGTTCATCCTCGAGTACATTCTCGCACTGGTGATGTGTCTTGCGGTCGGAATCATGTGCAGCTATCATCTCTGGACCGTCGCGCATGGAGAGACGACTGTTGAGGCTCAGGATCACGAAGTATACCGCAAGGTCGCCAAATCGCGAGATGAGGTGAGCCAGAGTCGTACTGAACTAGTTCCATCTCATCCGCATCCAGACCTTCGTCAACTCCTACGACCTGGGCAAGCGTCGAAACCTCCAGGTGTTCTTCAATGTCGGAGAGAATGGATAGTGCGTGTCGTCTGATCCTGCGACGCAGCATCATGCTGAACGCGATCAGCCCCTACTATACGTTGTTCATACCATTCCGAATCATGCCCTACACCGATGGCCGGTCCTGGGCCCGCCGAGAAGGATACGACGGCCACCATGGTGTGCGGCGCGGGGAGGAGCTGACGGACGATGAGGGTGAAGGTCTAGCATAAGGTGTGTCTCGTTTGATCGTGGGGTGTGGTGATGATCCCCGCCGGGGCCATATGACGCTTTCGAATACGCTTGTCGTGCTCGGGAAGTTGCTTGATCAACGTCCGGCTGCTGGACTCGATTCCAGTTCATGTTCTGATCGCTGTGGATTAGTCATCGAACTGATGCTGACTGTTCGTAGATCATGGCTGTACATATATCATCACTGTAATCGGACGTTATAATGGATTGCAGGTCCAGCGCTGCTTATGACACCCCTATCACACCATCCGAGACATCGAGATCCTTTGCAGATTCCAACAAAGGTTCTTTTTGCATTCTATACAGACTGCGCCGGTCTACCGAAAGACATCTAATCGACTCATCCAGCTCAGTCTCTCATCATCGTTGTGGCTGTCCAGGCTGCTCCAGTCCTGTAGTCTCTGTGCGTATTCGCATCTTCACGGCCAAGGACAAGATAGAGATTGACTTGACCGGATGGATGGTCCCTGTGGCTCATCATCCCTTTGGATGCAGTCTAGGAAGTGCGGATGGAACTGATACTTTCCGAGAGCAGGCATGCGCGTTAGAGTGTTTTGGATGGGCGCCCAACTGGACGTGATTGCTCGTGGAGCCGTGCTGTGTTGTTAATTGAAACACAAGCTGTGGGACCGCCGGTGATATGCTGCAGCAGAGCAGCTGGAATGATGGGCTTGCTGTGTCTTTGCGATATAAAGAGAGAGCCTCTCTCGATCATCCAGCCTGCACTGTCCAACCAACCCCCGCCGCACCATGCAGTTCACCTACAACCTTCTCCTTGTCCTGGCCATTGCCACATTGGGTCTGGGTGCCCAGGCTGCGATTGTGAATGTTCCTCGACAGCCACAAGGACTTGCCGGTACGCATCAGCGTTCGCACCATTCATCCTTGTCTTGATGCGCCGGATGCCATGTAGAAAGCTGCCCCAAATGCGGAGTCCCTGCCATGTCAGCATGACACAGGAACTAGACCAGAGAGTAGCACATATGCGAAGACAAAGATTGTAGCGGATGCTGAGATAAAGAAAGAGCGATATCAAGTAGTTCTATCTATCAACAACAACGCTGCAGTAAAGTCATTGCATCAGAGCAGCAATTGGATTAGAGGAGGCTGGGCAGTATCGCCCTCACGACTGGAGCTCGGGGGATGATATTTGCTCCACAATCGGACAGAATGAAGTTAAGCTAACGGCCAAACCACTGCTTGAAACAGTCCAGTGCCTTCTGCGGCTCTTCCATTACGAACTGCGAGCACGATCGATCAACATGAAGGGCCATCTCGAAAGGAACCGTAACGTACGAAGTGATTGGCGTCTTCCACCAACTCAAAGGCGATCTCGCACTCAGGCTTCGCCTCCGCGAAACTCCGCTCCTCAATCTTCCACCCGGCGTAGATAGAGTTCCAGCTATCCATGGAGCTAGTCACGAGATAGAACTTGCTGTCTTTCCATAGCTGACCGCGCACGTATGTGTCAAACAGCGCTTTGTCAGTCAATTTCCCCATGGCAGCGGCGAAACTCGGAGAGACGATCACCGCGTCGGCCTTGGCACCCGCCGTCAAGTCTAGTATGCCGCCCATTGGGATAGTCTCGATGGTGGGCGGCCGATTCGGGTCAGTGCGAGAGTAGGTCAGATTTCGCAGATCGCGGGTCGAGAGGTCACCATGCATGAAGAAGCTCGACAGCCAACGCGCTAAGAACGGTCCCGTCTCGGTCTGAGAGAGGGTGGAATCCGCCGGTAGGACGTACATCCCTTCCGGGTTCGGGATACCAAACACGACGGTGGGGGGCTCTGCAGACGAGAGACCATCAGTGTTGTCGGAATGGGAGAAGTGAAACTCACGATAGACGATGACGCTTCGCACAGAGCTACTTAGCGTCCGGCGCGTATCTTCAGGTAAGCTTTCCATCGACGCGACGACGGCCATGAGGACCAGAGATCCCAGCGACCATCCAGCCACAGCCACTCCACCCGGAAGAGAAAGCGATTCGACAAGCCCCGCGATCAGCAGCGCAAAGTCCCGACCCATCTCCGCAATAAATGCCTCCTTCTCCGCTTCGCTTCCGTTCACGAGCAACTCTGACATGTCCGGGAACGGAGTTGACCCGTCGTAATCTCGGCGGTTCGGGGCAATGACGCGGACGCCATTGGAGGGTCCGAGTGCTGCCAAAGACTGGAAGGTCCCTGGGGGTAGTTTACACTCCAGGTGTCGTCCCGACAAACGGAAGGACACTCACCGTTGTTGAACATGATCCCATGAATGAGCACCAGCGTGACATAGTTTGTCTCGTTGGACGTGGGGATGCCGCTGTCGGTTTAGCTGAAGACGACTCCGCTGGGGAGAGTGAAGGAAGGCATGTACAGGGAGATTGTGCCATGCCCTTATATACCCTTTCGTCGATGTGATTCATGCTTGATGTGTCAGTTGCGGGATGGACGACGGCAATGTAATGGAAGTACTCAAATCTGTCGAGCGAGAGTGAGCATTCACGAGCAGCGTCTGAGCACTCCGGACGTGCCCGAGTGAGCCCATCATCATTTCATCGAGCAACAAGTTGCGCGTCGCACGGCTTTTAGTACTTGGCTTTTAGATAATGGGCACCAGATGATCCATTGCTGAGTGAGCTCTGCATCACAGATAATTCACATGCGAATGATCACCCGTACGGTCCTGGGCCACCGCTGTGAGCCGAAGTCTAGTTGCCCACCTCGACGTAAAACATGCTGACACATGTACGATGGTCGCGAGGAGTGTTCGAAAACCAGCCCGTAGCAAAGTCCGAGAGCCAGCCGTGAGCCCTTGCACGCAAAACGATATCATACAGACAGCCACTATCACGCAGCACACTTGGTTGGACTATTTTCGAATCAGATACGCTGCGTGAGCTGCACGAGCAGAAGCCTGCAGTTTCTCTCAGGCCGTACTCTGCTGGTCGATAAAACATGCCAGTTGTGAGGTAAAGTGCGTGCCAGTCCCAGTGAGAGGTACTGAGAACGGAAGGATGCGGATTTGCAGGATGATGTGCCCAGTTCAAGAGGGCTCTGCACCGAGGCGTAAAATTCATGTTTGATGGGTGAGTGTCGTGCTATGCGAGTCGATGGTAAAGTGAGGCAAGCGATTCGAGTCGTGAAAGTCGATGAGGAGGACTGTCGGTGATGACGAAAGGGCACGTTATCTTTTCCACCTCCGTGACCTCCCCATCCTGGCGCCCGTAGAGAACCAGACTGGTTCTCTGCGGCTGGTTCAACCAGTGCAACTGTTCGTTCGATACCTATCCGGAACAAGGGAAGACCAATCTTCCAGCCACGCGAATGCGCTTCAGCACATCCATCGTCCAAACGGGATATTCCTCGCAGCTGCCCCAGTCTTTTGCTCGATCCAAGCGCGACATGTGCGCCTAACTCCGCGTCGACGTGATGAGCCTATACCCAGATTTCCTCCCGCGAAGGCCGAACCGCGTACTTAACATTCTGGAGGAAGCCAAACATCCCGTTTGTTACAAGAGGGCGCTATCTTGGTGAGTGGTCTGAATCGTTGAGGCTCATCGCTGAATGGGGTATCCAATGGTTTGCTGTGACTTCACAACGCGGTGTCGAAGACTGAGACCTCCCCACAATCCCTGTTCCCCGATTGACATATCCTGTAGCTTCCGCGATTCCGGATCCATTCAAGATGCTGCACTGATGGGATGTGTTATGACTTGAACGCAGCTACAGTACAGCGAAGTCTAGCGACTGACTGAAATCACAGGCTTCACGGCGTCATTGCGTTAGGCCCGCAGAACGAACTCGGTCAGCACGACGGACACATCCTACCGAAGTTCTTGTCCACTAGAAGCACGTATGACGCCTTCGCTTGATGTGGGTCTTGACCAGGTTATCGTCGACTGCAGGATATAGCATAGGACAATGGTAATATTCACACATGCATCGTACCGAGACATTGATATCAAACGAAACATGATGCTAAGCAGAGCGAGAGTCCTCAGACTTGCTGAAACCCGACGGAAGAACCAGCTTCTTCAGTCTTCTCGTCAACGCAAGCAGCGACTTTGTAGAGCGACGGGAGCTGACTGACGTCTCGGATGTCGAATCGGAAGCGGGATTGGACTTGCCCAGCGGGGAAGGCTGCTCGCTGTTCACCGGCGGGGGGACTACAGCAGCGAAAGCGTACATGGGGTTCGGCTTGAATACGATCGCGCCAATCCTAGGTGAAGAATTCAGAGAACGGGAGTGCGATTTGGACACGCATTGTCCAGATGACGACCCAACGAGGAACCGTTCCATCGCCAGGACATCCGTGCGCAGCTGCTCGAGGCCTGGTCTGCGTCTCTGGTCGGGATGGAAGATGCGGTTGAGCAGGCAACTGAATGCGGGAGTGAGGTCCAGCATGCGGCGAAGGAGATTGGCGGGGTCCGATCGGTACGCGGCAAATCGACGGTCGCTGTCGACTGGGACTCTCCACGGCAGACTGCTCGTCAGCAATGCGATGAAGATGATACCCAGAGCCCAGCTATCGGCGCCGCGCGTCGAGTAACTCTCTCGGTCCCGGTCCAGACTCTCTGCGGAACATGTCAACGCAGTGTTCTGGAGAGACATGGGAGAAGTGTGACGCGCCAGGACTCGCAAACACGGGTGTACCCACGCCGAATTGCGTCGACTCTGCTGCGCAGGTTGCTACGCCAAAGTCGGCCAGTCGAATGTTGCGCCCATCCGCATCACACAAGATGTTCCCCGGCTTCAGATCCCGATGAGACACGCCCGCCGCATGACACGCATCCAGCACATCCACGATCTCTAGGAAGATCCGCTTCGCGACGTCCGGACGCCCAGCGCACCGCTGTTGGTCGATGACGAGCCGGTGCAAATCCATATCACATAGCTCAAGCACAATGAAGATGTACGCGCCTTCCAAGAACGACCGGTGGAGCGTAACGACGCCGGGCAGATGTGAGACTTGCGTGTGGTTCCGGATCTCGTGTCGAAGGTTGATGTCGCCCCGCGAGCCCGGCTTGCGGCGGGCTAGACACTTGACCGCATGGTAGTCTGAGGAGAGTGTATCAAAAGCTTTGTAAACCTTGGCGAAGCCGCCGGTGCCGAGGAGCGCGAGAAGCTGGAGCCTGCCATTCTCAACCGTTGTCCCCGTCAGATCAGGCAATTGCGCAGAAGGCAGAGAGCGCGGACGGATTGGGGTGGATGGTGGCATTGTGAAGAGAACGAGGGATTGTGCGCAGCAATGGTAGGAAGAGCAAGGTGTAGAGACGGGAGTCTCAGTAGACGCGCATACATCCGTTCCCTTGTCTCAGTTCGATCGTCGAGAGCTTTCAATTCAAGCAGTCCGGATGCTGCAGGCTGGCGCGTGAAAACCGGAAGCGTGTGAAGCTGTGTCCTGATTTGCAAGTCGTAACAGACCCTGTGCTGGTCGGATCGTAGCTGTTGCTCGATGATAGCATTCCACAAACGGACGGTTACACGGGTGCGCATGGAAAGATCCGTAGTCTATCTCGTCAGTTCAGGAGTGTTGTTCCAGCGGGTGCAGACCAGGAGTCCAAATATTGACAATCGACAGGCCCTGGGCCAAAGCAGAACGTTGGAAGCAAACAACGTCAATGGACACTTGTCATTCGCCGGTGTCATCAGGTGCTGCTGAGGCTGGTGAGTGAGAAGCATCAGGACTGCGTCCGCGTCTTCGTCTGCGGGAGAGGTAGAGGGTGATTCTGCAGACGTGCTCGTTAGTACCCTGAGACCTATCCCCGAGCAAGGTTTCACAAATGAATGAAATGAAAACAGTGGAAACAAATGAATTCTCCTGCCTGAATTCTACAGGTACAGACGTCTGAGAGGGATGGAGGCACCCCAGGGACCTCCAATTATGACGTAAAATGGCTTCGAGGCCCCCTCCGGAGGCCATCAAACCACCCCCTACCCCCCCTGATCGGAGGCCATTCTGGAGGCGCCTTCCTAATTGGGACGCTGCCTGGCCATTTGTCCACAGCCTGCATGGTACTCAGGCGTAGGCTGGGGATCGGTCTTGGTACTGATATATGCTTCAGTTGTCATTATTAAGTCTCAGAAACTGTCTTAGCTCCCAGAGGCCTGTATTTACTGCTCGCAAATGGTGGGCCACTGGGCACCCAAAATTTGGGATTTGAGCGCATTAGCATGGCCCAAGTGTATGGGGCAAGGGGATGTGTATTCCTGCGAGATCGAGCATGAAAGACTGGCGTCTGCATACAAGATTGAAATGTTATGCAAGGGAGGGATCACGGCCTCCACGACCTCCCAGGGTCAGAAAGAAAAGGCGTTGGGTAGCCCGCAGGCGCTTCAATTACCTTCAGTAGATCAATTTGACGCTTATACTCTCTAAAAACAACAGTTAAGCACGTAGATCTGATGCCAGCACCGATAGCAGAGATGACCTCCATGGCCTCCACAGCCGGGCACGAAACGCGGTTAGAAAGCGATCATCGTGGATCCAGCCGCACGAGACATGTCTCCAGCATACCAAGTCCTCTTCTGGATGATGAACGTCCTCCCGCTGGGCGGCCCAGCCGGTAGATCTGATGCGGGCACCGATGGCAGATATGGCCTCCACGGCCTCCACAGCCGGGGACGAAACGCGGTTAGAAAGCGATCATCGTGGATCCAGCCGCACGAGACATGTCTCTAGCATACCAAGTCCTCTTCTGGATGATGAACGTCCTCCCGCTGGGCGGCCCAGCTGGTAGATCTGATGCGGGCACCGATGGCAGATATGGCCTCCACGGCCTCCACAGCCGGGGACGAAACGCGGTTAGAAAGCGATCATTGGGGATCCAGCCGCACGAGACATGTCTCTAGCATACCAAGTCCTCTTCTGGATGATGAACGTCCTCCCGCTGGGCGGCCCAGCTGGTAGATCTGATGCGGGCACCGATGGCAGTTATGGCCTCCACGGCCTCCACAGCCGGGCACGAAACGCGGTTAGAACACCAAAAAAAATTGAAGACTTGGGACAGAGTTTTCCCCTCGCATTCAGTGGCTCGCACACCATGGAACATCGTCAATGCCCCGCTGAAACGTCTGGCCAGCCCGCCTCCGGACTTGGCCTGTCTATTATGTACACTCCTGTCATTGTTTTTACTCTTGCCCTTGACGCTCTTCCCCTCTGCGGACTACACATCTTGCAGACTCAGTCCCGACGGCATAGGCTAGGTCACCGCCAAGAGGTCCATGGCCCCGGTTTCCATCGGCAGTCTCCGCAAACCAATCAAAAAATCCATCAGCCGAAAGGCAAAGTCGGGCAACCGAGGGATTGGCGCACACTCTACTAGTCCCGTGAAACCGGGTGATCCACGTCGGCAAATCTTATCAGTTCCTCTTGGCCGCTTTAGCCTCGCCACATGCCATCACGATGCCGATCCAGATGTCCTCTCACCAATTCCTGGTAGTTCTTCCGGTTTGGATCAATCCGACCCCCCTTTGGAGCCAATGAACCTTGAATCTGAACATTACTTGTCAAATGAGCCACAGTCTCGGCTGTTGCCTCAAGGCGAGTCCACATCTGTTACCTTGGAGGCCGTGGAGGCAGGACTATTGGGCTCTGACTGTACTCCAGCAGCATCAAACGGGCTATCATGTACTTTTGTCGAGGACGTTCATGCTGAACCACGACGAGATTCAGATCTCCTCTTTGCCCAATCCTGGAAGCTGCTGCTTCCCTCACTGGTTGACCCATTACTCACCTTCCGCCGAGATTCATTGGGACGACCACCCTGTCCCATCGGCGACCAGCTATCTTATGAATGTAACGCTGGCTGCATCAAAAAAACACAAACGCGAATACGTTGCCTGTTTTTCTATCGTAAGTTTGTTTGCAATGTCTTCCAGTTTTAAAGCCTTCTAATGCAAACAGATTTTGAAAATATTGTCGTTCAGACATGCCTGTGTCTCCCAATTCCTCAACTTCTTGTCCGTCATGGCCTCTTCCCTACCTCACCATCACGTCCTCAAGTTGCAATATGTATCAACATGCTCGAGGCCTATCGAGCATTGTTCGAGCGATCCTGTGATGCTATTACAGCTTTCGCCGCTGCTCTCCGAGATATTTACTCTCGTCGTGGATTCGAAGCTCTCTCTTCAAGAGTAAGTCTTTGTGACAATCAACCCAAAAACAAAGTCGAGAAGAGAAGTGAATTCGAAGACTGGAGAATACAACCAAGTAGCTACAGTATTTATACCCAAATCCTGTCTGAGTCATATCTACAACTAATGAGTCATAAGGCTATGTACCGCATGGAGCACTGGTCATGGGTTGTAGTAGAACCTTCCGGAGCATATGTCGCGCAGCCTCGAATCGATAGAGATAACCCCTGGAACCCCTAGCCCGGACCGTCTGATGCCGTGATCCGTGATAAGATAAGTCGTGCCAAGATAAGATAAGATCGCCGATGATAAGATGAAAAAGAGTCGAATTATGACATTACCCCCTCTCTAGGGTCGATGTCCTCATCGACTAGGCCGATGGGCGTGAAGACGTTTTCGTAGGGATCGAAGAGTTGTCGCTGGGGATATGGAAGGCGCTCGTCTTTGGGTTTGTAGCGATGGATGAGATAATCCCAATGTCCGGCTTCGAGAGTTGGTAGGAGGCGAATGCGTGTGTCTGGGTTGGATTGTTTCCTCTGCCAATCTCTCAGGACCTTCTTCGCGTGGGTAAGGTGACGTGATGGTTCCCAGGTGTTCTCGCTGTGCGGCCATCCCTTCCATTTGACCAAGTACTGTTTTCCTCGGCCGACTTTTCGCTCTTTCACGATTTCTTCGACTTCCCACTCCTCTGCTCCTCCGATCATCTTGGCCACGGGTCTCTTCTCTCGGCGATGGGGGGGTGGTTCGTGATAGGGTGTCAACAGTGACTCGTTGAACACCGGGTGTCTTCGGTCCGTGTCCGGCAAATTCAGCTTCCATGCAGCCGCTCCAACCTTCTCCAGTATCTCGTATGGCCCCAATCTCTTGTCGCTCATCTTCTTTGATGGTCGATCCGTCTCGATATTCTCCCCTTCTATGTACACCTTCATCCCAACTTTCAACTCCGGAACTTCTTTTCTTTGTTTATCGTAGTATTTTTTCATTTTTTCTTTTGCTTTTTCTAGTGCTGCTTTTGCTTCGTCTTGTATTTCTTTGATTCTTTTCACAAATTCCTCCGCCGACTCGTTTCTCGACTCCATCCGTTGCTCCACTCCCTTCCACGGGTGATATCCGTGATTCGCATAGAATGGCGATACTTTGGTGGACGTGTTCATCTTGTTGTTATATGCGAACTCCGCCATTCCCAGCCACTCCGACCAGTCCGTTTGATGGTAATTGACGTAGATGCGGAGATAATGCTCGATCTCCTGATTCATGCGTTCTGTCTGCCCATCCGTGATCGGGTGATATGCGGTCCCCGGGTTCATTTCCACGCCCAACATCCGATTCGTCTCCCTCATGAAGCCCTTGATGTAACGCGAATCCCTGTCGGTGATGATCTTGCGAGGGATCCCGTGGTAGCGGAAGACTCGGTCCCTGGTTAATCGTGCCACTCCTTCGCTGCTGATGTCAGTACTGATTGGTTCGACATGGATCATTTTGGTGAAGGTGTCACACCACACATGAATTGCGTCATACCCGTTACTGACCGGCAAGGGTCCGATCTGATCCATGGAGATGATTTCCCACGGCGCGTTTGGAACTGCATGCGGGTGCAAACTCCCTGTCCTGGCTCTTCTGGTCTTGGTCCGCTGGCACGCTTCGCACGTCTGGATGTATTTCCGAATTTGGTTCCCCATCCTTGGCCACCAGTAGTTCCTTTCCACCATCTCCTGCGTTCGGTTGGTCCCAGCGTGTCCGACCAAAGGGGTGTCGTGGTGTAGTCCGATGATCTTGTCCCGCAACTCCTCGTCCCTTGGTACATAGAGCTTCCCATGATACGTGATGAGCCCATCTTCCTTCTTCCATCCGACGAGTGACTTCTCCAAGGCCGCCTTGACGCTTCCATCAACTGATCGAATGGCCTTGATTTCATCGATTAGCTGCTGATCCTGTCCCTCAAATGTGACTTCTTGTGATCGGAAAAACTCGGGCTTTAGTAGCGTGACGTCCTTGTTGTCGTTCTTGCCCTGATCGTGATCTGCTCGTCGAGATAAGAGATCCGCTTTGCGGTTGAGTGCGCCGGGCCGGTGTCGTAAGGTGAAATCGAACTCCGCCAACTCCGTGATCCATCGTGCTTGCCGTCGATTGAGCTTCTGCGGCTTCCGGAAGTACTCGAGATTCTGATGGTCGGTGAAGATCTCGAACGTCTCCGTGGCTCCCAGGAGTAACTGCCTCCATTCGTCAAGCGATAACATGATTGCGAGCATTTCCTTGTCGTAGATCTCGTAATTTCGCTCGGTTTCGGTCAGTGCGTGCGAAATAAATGCGATTGGGCGCCAAATGCCGTCTTGGTTTTGGCTCAAAACTGATCCCGTTGCCCCTTCCGAAGCATCGGCTTCCAGACGATATTGGCCAGTGTCATTTGGCAGTGCTAGGACCGCATCCTCCGCGATTCTCTTCTTCAATCCATCAAATGCCGCATGCTCATTTGCACCCCATGACCATCCTGCCTTTCCTGTCAGCCGTGTCAATGGCTTGGCAACCTCCGCGTATCCCCGGACGAAGCGCCGATAGAAGTTTGTGAACCCTAGAAACGCTTGGACTTGTTTGACGCTCTTTGGTTCGGGCCATTCCATCACGCCCTTGATCTTGACTGGGTCCATCCGCATCGAATTGTGTCCAATGATTACACCCAAATATTCGATTTCCGTGCGTTCGAACTCGCACTTTTCGGGCTTCAGGTATAGCTTGTGTTTTTGGAGCAATTCGAGCACTCGTTTCGTGATCCGCCGATGTTCGTTCAAGTTTTCTGTGAAGATCAGTATATCGTCCAGATAGACTACCACGTGACCCTCGTTGATCAACTCTCGGAGTATGTCGTTCATCATGTTTTGGAACGTTGCCGGGGAATTTGTGAGACCAAAGAACATGACCAAGGGCTCATACAGCCCTCGGTTCGTGCGGAATGCAGCCTTCCACTCATCACCCTCTTTGATCCGTACATTGTTATATCCCCACCGGATGTCAAGTTTTGTGAAGAACTTGGCGCCACATAGATTATGGACTAGTTCGGATATCAGCGGCAGCGGGTATCGATTCCGAATCGTCATCTCATTCAGCTTCCGATAGTCTTGGACGGGGCGTAGGGAGCCATCCTTCTTCTTGACAAAGAAGAATGCTGATGCCATCGGTGATTTTGATGGCCTGATCCGTCCACTGGCCAAGTTCTCTTGTAGGAATTCGTCGAGTTTGACTTGTTCATTGCGTGATAACGGGTACACCTTGCAGTCCACTGCCTTGGAACCAGGTTTGAGCTCAATTGCGTGATCCCATGCCCGTCGGTCTGGTAGCGAGTCAAACGATTCCTTGGCGAATACTTTGACAAATTCCCGATATTGATCCGGAATCTTCCCCTCGGTCATCCTCTCCTTCTCTTTCTCCGCTTCTTCTGCGAATTTCTGTGCCGGCGTTTCCTTCAGCCGCAGGTCTACTTCCTTCCCAAAATCGACCAACAAGATCGATTCTCCCTCTTCCAGATCCGGTGTGCCCATGTTCAGGTCAATTGCGTCCATGTCAATCATCGCTTGATGTTCCTCGTGACCCCTCATGTGACACCGCTCTGGGCACCGGCTGAACCTCATGGTCTGCTCCTGCCAATCCACTTCGGGGTTGTGTTCCATCAGCCAATCGAGACCGATGAAGATCCGGGCTTTCCCCAAGCACGTCAGAAGGAACGTGCGTGTCTCCACATGAGGACCGATTCTCATCCTCAGATCAACGTAGTGCGTGATCCGACCGCTGATGTTCTCGGTGTTGTCGGCGTTACAAGCCACAATGGGTTGTGGGAGCTCTTGAATATCCAACTTCTCCGCCCGTGCGTAGTCGGTATCGATGCAACAGGTACTGCAGCCGCTATCGAGCAGCGCCTTGACTCCGCGCGTTTTTCCTGAGTCCAGACCCGTGATCTGGACATATACGTCCATCGAATGTCTCTTCCTTTCGGCCTGGTAGTCGCGCAATTCCTGCGCCAGTCTGCCGGGCTGCGGGCCCTTCTGTTTCTCGGCCGCCAATTTCCTCTGGACGGCATCTGGCACCCTGGTGCGTTTGGGTGCTTCTGGAACCTTGATTTCGGCAGATTCCTTAGGCGCTTCCTCCTTTTTCAAGGATTGAGCCTCCGGAGCGATGCTCCCCTTTTCGGTCTTTGTTGACGTGGTTCCTTCTCCACGAGCCATAAATATGTATGAATCCAAAATTAATTTATCTGCAGCTTTCTGATCCTTTTTACTTTGTAAATACTCCCTATTTAAGGCTATTTTTCTTTGGCGTTCTTTTTCCATATCAGCAATGAGAAAATCGTGAATATTCGTACGTAGTGAGTCCGAGATTGTATATGTATGTGTAGAATCGTTCATGTCTTTAATTGAAACAAGTACAGAAAAACGTCCATAGTCCGGACGCTCCACCTCCTTGGCTAGAGGAGTGGAGCGTTTCAAAAACCCTTCTCGCGCAGCTTCTCGGCAATCTCCTTGAGGAACTCGTTGTCCTTGTCCCCGTTCTCGATCTCTTCAAGCATCGTGGCCCGATTGAAGAATGTGCGCTTCTTTCTTGGTTCCGGGCAGTTCCGCGCAATGTGCCCCGGCTGCTGACAGTTGTAGCAGATAATATTGCGGCCGCGGGCGTGGGTACGATCGATTTCCATCGGAACCGGTTCGTTGGCAGCGGGTCGGGCCGGAGCGGGTGCGGGCGCCACTGGTGCCGCTTGGGGACGGAACTGGGGAGGTGGTCGTTGTGTGGGGTGCCCATACGACGCTTTGCGCAGCTGGTCACGCAGAGCATTGGCTTCGATGTTGATGCACCAGGCTTTGAATGCTCCATAGGCCTTGGGCAGAGGGACACCGGTGTTGTAGAGACGGCTGGCAATCTCGCTGCTGAGTCCGCGCTCCAGGAACTCGATGAGGATATTATCCTGGTCCCCCTTCTTGTATTCGCCTTTGTCGTCGGTGGTGTCGACCACATTGTAGCCTGCATCTGCGGCCAACATCTCAAAGTCGGAGATGTAGTCCGCGAAGGACCGTTTGTTTTGGCGCAGGGCCATAAGCCGAGCAGCGGCGACTTGTTCCGCATTGGAGTCCCCGAACGCCCTCTGAAACTCCTCCAGGAAGTTCTTTGATGTGACTCCTGCCTTCAGTCCCTGGAAGCCCTCGAAGTTGTGCTGCTTCCAGTTCATTGCCCATCTCGAGGCAGCGCAGCTCGTGCCGTTCTCGTTACGGAGGTAGGAGAGGACAAAGAGGATTTTGGTCTCATCCTGCGAGAACTCCGATCGATAGGCACCGATGTAAGTGGTGCACGCGTCCACAAAGCCCAGGTATTTGGACTTGTCGCCATCGAAGTAGGGGGGATTGGCGGCGAGGGTGATGCGGTGATGCCCTGACATGGTAGGGGCAGACGTGTGAGGTGGGGGCGAGGGTGGTTGTTCGGAGGGCAGTTCGTCGAGGTCGGGGATCTCGTCTTCAGGCGGTGGGAGGGCGAGGTAGGGGTTGGAGGGCCCGGGTTGGTTTTGATGCGCCAGATCGGGCGACGATGGTATGATGGGGGGAGGGGACGGACTCCCAGACGACGATGGGAATCGGTACGAAATGGTGGAATCGTGTGCTGTACAAGCACTCGAGGGAGGGTTCTTTTGCTAGCAAAAAGATCCCGGGCCTAACTCTTCACGTGCCCGATGATCCCGAGGTGCGTTTTCCCGAAGGTCTCCGCAGCACTCCTTGTAGCTACCGTAAGGCTTGGGTCGGGCTCAACGTTACCCGTGGCCTGGTGCTGTTTGCTTGATATGAACCCTTCACTGCGATAGTGGAGGACGACTAGATGATTCGGTAAAAGGGTGAGTGGGGTGATAAGGTTTTAAGAGGATATAGCGGGCGTAGCGGTGCGGGATGCAGGGTAAGAGGTATGAGGTAGGAGGGTATGAGGGGAGTCTTCGAATTATGTGACAATCAACCCAAAAACAAAGTCGAGAAGAGAAGTGAATTCGAAGACTGGAGAATACAACCAAGTAGCTACAGTATTTATACCCAAATCCTGTCTGAGTCATATCTACAACTAATGAGTCATAAGGCTATGTACCGCATGGAGCACTGGTCATGGGTTGTAGTAGAACCTTCCGGAGCATATGTCGCGCAGCCTCGAATCGATAGAGATAACCCCTGGAACCCCTAGCCCGGACCGTCTGATGCCGTGATCCGTGATAAGATAAGTCGTGCCAAGATAAGATAAGATCGCCGATGATAAGATGAAAAAGAGTCGAATTATGACAGTCTTTCCATAACTGACAGACCTGACAACTCACTCTTCTAGAACAAAGAAGAGCGCGCGATTGACCCTTTCCGATCGGGAATAACTCAAGCCGTCCAGTGGTATAGCAATCTGTCGGATGAAATTGGCACAAGGGCCCACGCCCATCTGGAGGCGGTGGAGGCAGTCACAGTCAATCCTGTCCCAGACAGTCCGCTTTTAGAAGCTGGATCTGACCGCGCCCCCCCCTCGAAACCGCAAACAGTTTCAGGACTTTTCCCAGGACGTGCTAGTCGGTCGCTACGTGAGGCGTGTCCAGCCTGCTTCGGGTGTGAACTGTGGGGAAGAAAACTTGAAGAGTGATATAACCTGCTTTTTTGCGCCGCAACAGTAACTGACAAATCATGCAGGGGCGGTGATGTGCAGCTTGGAGGCGATGGCTGCATGGGCTATCGTCACCTCTGTGCTGCTGGTGATAGCCCAATCTTCTTCACGCCGAAGTTCTTTGTCCCCGAGGCGACTGTGAGGCAGGTCCAGCTGCGTATTGCCGCAGCTCGCAAGCAGCCACCGAAGCGCAATGTAGTCCCTGCTGTGCCACCTGAGGTCCTGGACGCATGTGAACAGTCGTTCAAAGCTGCAAAGGAGAGGGACTCGAGCACAACCTCCCGGAACTTCGACTCTAGTGGCGTCTTTGTCCTGGCCTGCCGACATTCACAAGTAATTGCAATGTGCGATATCTACACACCAGGCGAGCAACAGCATTACATTATTGCTCTCATCGAGCGGGTAGCATCTCTTCTCCCCCCTCAAGCCACTATAAAACAAGCATATGATATTGGATGCGTTCTGGACCGAAGTTGTCAGCTTGTAAGTCCCTCTGCCTCCGGTGCCTCCGGTGCCTCCACCGCCTCTTTCTATTTCTCATTGGAGCCAATTTTTAGTATCCACTGCTCTCGGCGGATTTGCAGCCACGAGTAGAGTTTGTGATCAATGCCATGCACTCATTTCGTCATCAATGGTCCTGTCAAGTCCGGTACAGTCCACGAATGAATGTCGGCATGGGCATCACTGATGCAGAAGGCGTGGAACGGATTTGGTCACGCACACGCAAATTGATTCCAATAACCAGGAATATGGGGGTAAGTTCCTCATCTCGTGTGTGCTCAAATCCTCAAGACACACCTCAGGCCTCCAGACGCATCTGGATGATAGACCAGTATGTTGGATTCGTGAATGAGGATGGTCTAATCGAGCTCGGGGCCTGGCAAGAGCGCCAAAGCACCGTGAATCTATTCAAGAAGGCTTCTGCTGCCCGTGCAGCGTTGGTTCTCGGTTCCATTTCCGAGACAGACTTGCGCAAACATTGGGAGGATCAAAAGAATGCGCAAACCTCCGTCCGTTCAGGTGTGTACAAATCACTGAGGATTATACATCAAGCTCACCCTCATTAGCCCCTCCAAATAGACTCCGACGAGATCTTGAGAAGGTCATCACTCTCCAAGGGCAGATCGATTCTGTAGATGAAGCAATTTTGGATGCAAAAAAGGCGATCCTGGCCTCGAATCACTCTCAGAAATCTCGAAGGGTTCTTTCAGACCTTCAGGCTACACACTCCACGCTGGATGCCCAAGTCAACCGGCTTTACGGCTCACTTGATCTCAATGAAGATTTCCCGAATCTTGCTCATCTGCCAATCGAGTTCCTTCACACCTTGCTTCTCATGCGTACCTTAAAGCCTCACATTAGACGTCAGGTCGTGGCATCTTTTATGGAATGGGAGGCTCTGGACCAAGCAGTGAACGGCAAACGGGAGGCTTTGGGTAAGATTGCCTCCACTGCCTCCGCGCCTCCACTGCCTCCGTCATCACGTGCTAAATCCTTGCGCAGGGAACAGATTATACCAGAACATCAAGCAGTCCATTTCACGTAGACAGCCCGCCCTCCTCAAGCTCATTTATCGATTCAATGGCTATGTTATCAAACTTTCGGAATGTCGACCGGCCGACTGCTCCATACCAATCCCTCGACCTCTTTCCACAAAGCTGGCTGAGCTGCGTAGCGACCCTGGCCTCTACGAAGACGTCTGGATCTCGACTCGTCTGGAAAGGCCTCCAAAGTGGCTCACAGATGAAAATGTTCGCGACGGAATCCAAAACATGTTGGTGCTAGACCGCTGTCGGGAAGAAGTGAAACGCATGGCACTGGAACGAAGCAATATGAGATCATGGATTTCTCATGAGCTCAACCTTCTTCGGAAAGCACTCGACTTGCCTGGAGGTGAGCCACGTTGAAAATTGGGACACATGAGATTGACACGTACATGGTATCAAGAAACCTTGCTCAGCGTCCCATTGCTTACACGCAAGAATCACCTCGAATTTGTCTCCATCTCCTGGGAACGACGTCTCCGACGCTCTGAGCAACCCCGCTTTTCTGCACCGGTTATGCCACCGGTTAGGCCTGCCTCCAGCGCCTCCACTGGCCCTGCGTCTCCCTTTGCTTGCATCCCGGCTTCGAGACAAAACAACTCTCCGCATTTCACTATGGATGATCAGCCTCAGTCCTTCGGATCTCTTCCTTCCCGCCCTTTGATGACCAATCCTCTTGTGGGACACACCACAGCCATCGTTCAGGAGGAATCAGAAATTGCTGTGGATGAGGACCGCGATTCCCCTCCACCTAGTGAAGTCGAAGATAACTCTGACACAGACAATGAAAGTGTGGGATCAAGCGATGGATTGAACGCCTTTGTGTGGAAAGTGCCGGTGCGTAATTCCTATCCCCGCAACTTGATCTTCAATTCAGTCACACACACAGGCAAATCTCAGTATGGACTCTCAGTTTGCGACGCATTTAAGGATGCATAATCTGTCGCACCATTTCATCCGAGTGAACGCTACTCGCAAGGTTGTTGGCCTCCATGGCCTCCGGAGTGCCGATCTTCAGTGTGACGATATGGACCGAGTCCTCCAGAAGACCGGACGGCTCAATAACTTTGCTCTAAATGGATTGGCAAAGTCTCTGTTCGGGATCTTTGCAGAGCCACACTCTCCATTCTCAAATCAAGTTCTGCAATGTGCGCTTTTCAGCACCTATGATCTGGCTCGGGTTCAGACCCAGGCGAGTGATCAAGATCTCTGGCGCAGCACAGCGCAGACAATTTACTGGCGCAAACGGCTATGGGTTGTTCCCATCCACCGGCCGTCGCAGGAGCACTGGGTTCTTGCAGTCATTGACATGTCAAACTTCATCATCCGTGTCTTTGACAGTCTTGGTTCCCACAGTGGATGGAGCAGGGATTTAGATGCATGTATCTTTCCTTTTCGCTCCTCCGCTTGAAATGACCTCAGAGCCGCAGGACCTTGGCAACATGGTCTCCCGCCTTTCAGCATTGGCATCTCAAAACCATCCCAAAGAATTCACGCCTCTCAAAGAATCGCAGTGGACCGTTTTGCCGATTTACAATCAGGTGCTTCAGACCAACAGCCATGACTGTGGCGTATGGGTCCTCTGCGCCATAGCTGCAACCTTGAGAGGATTCGACGCTCCCTTCCTTACAGAAAGGGATATTCCAGAAATACGCTCCTTATTCTTCGAACATTTCCTTACATTACCCCTTTTAGCTCCGGAAAAGCGAGTCATCCAAATCCAGGGAGGCCATGGAGGCCGTGGAGGCCGTGGAGGCACTGCAACTATGTAGCTCTGATCGAGTTTTTGAACTTCAATTGTATCCTTTTTGGCCTTACCAATCAGAATTAGACTTCTATTTCCCAAAATCCGTTGGACGCTGATTTTCAGACTAGCGAATGTACATGAATAATGGTGTGGAGGCCCTGGAGGTTATCCGCACTTGTTCCTGTTACGCAAGGAATTTGCAGCCGTAGAAGTGTACAATGTTACGAGCCACCCATTGCTGCTGATGCTTCAACATGGCGTGCTGTCTTGCATCATGTAAAGGGTCATATGTCCCTGAAGCCTCGAATGCACAGAGCACCTCCCATTTCTTCCACCACCCGGCCAACATTGCTCGTACCTCCGCAAACAGTTCCTCTCTTTTCTTTCCATCACCAGCACGAAGGAACCGTGAGTGGAGATCATTGTGGCGGGCTTGACGCATCCGGAACTGCACACCGTGCATTGCTG